AATTTAGCTTCTTAAGGGAAAAGTGAAGCATAGGAAGGAAAAGAATACCTCACTCCTTGTTTTACAAACATATTTTGCCTCTGCCTTGAGATTTTTAAGCTCCTTTTAAGGACAAAGGCTGATTCTTACTCATCTTTGAGTCTGGCTGGGTTTTTTTTTTTTAATCTGCAGTGCATCAGATTTGCATATCATCCTTGCACAGGGGCCATGTTAGTAATTAATCTTCCCTGCATTGTTCTAACTTTAGTATACGTTCTGCCAAAGCATGCACTACCTTGGAATTTTCTGTATATATGCATCAAAAAGGTTTAAGAAACTGGAGCCCTGTGCTGGAGGGTGAAGTTAGGGGTCAGGCTAGTCTAGTTCTGCTGACTCTGAAGAGCTGAAGTTCAGCTCAGAGCAGCTCATTTGATAAGATGTTTGGATATACATAGCATAGAAGTACCGCAGTAATAAATGGGGTCACATTTATGCAGCCAGTTCTGGGCTCCTGATTTGTGCCTGGTACCGTGCTGGGCTCTGGAGACCCAGAGAGAAAGGTAGGAGACAGCCCAGGGAGAGGTGGTGGATCGTAGCAGAGGCTTTTGAGTGAGCCATATAGTTCAATCCCACATAACCTTTTCCTAAGTGTAGGTGCTTGGAAAAGGTGTCTAGCTCCCTGAGTCATAGCTTCTTCATTTCTAAAAAGGGAATAATAGTATTTACCTGTAAGCTGTGCCTACCGAATGATCTGTCATTTCATTGTTTGGCACATTGTAAGCAGGCAGCTTTAAGAATAGTCCACTGCCCCCCTGAAGTTAGAGTGACAGGAGCAAGCCATTATTCTGGATGGGAACGATTGTTTGGCAGTGTCTAAGTGCTCCGGTGGGTGGTTTGTGTGCACAGGTGCTGAGCGAGATAGGAGGGCAGGTGGCTGCCTCACTCAGCAGAGACGTGTGGAAGGCCTCCGGGGAGTATTGGCATGGCCACTACTTGGTAGTGAGCCAAAACTTGAAGCCTAATTAAGTATTAGCTGGCAAAGAAGGGGGAAGGACATTCCCTTCCAGGCAGTTAAGAGTCTGCAAGGACACGCAGGTGCCTTTTTTGTAAGGTTTTTGATTTCGGGTTTGCCAGAACAGTTGAGTTTTGCATCCTTTGTTCAAGTTGTGAAGAGGAAAAACGTGGAAAAGTGTTAAATGGGTCTTTAAGAAAAGGAAGTCTTTTTAAATTCTGATGAAGTGTCCAGAATAAGAATAGACCTTTGACTTGGCAGAGCATTTGCCTGTGAAGCTTGGCAGTGGTGTCAGGTCCTAGGGAATCCAGTAGGAGCCAAGAATGGTTCCCACCCCTCCGCATCCCCGCTGTAGTGACATCTAAGCACACTCCCTTGCAACCCACCCACTGGTTTCCCAGTTGCAGCTAAACTCCACTTTCAGAAGGAAATGATCCCATTCCTTTCTGGCTTGAGGGACTATTAAACAATCAAGAATACCTTATGTGGGGCGCCTGGGTGGCTCAGTTGGTTAAGCGACTGCCTTCGGCTCAGGTCATGATCCTGGAGTCCTGGGATCGAGTCCCACATCGGGCTCCCTGCTCAGCGGGGAGTCTGCTTCTCCCTCTGACCCTCTTCCCTCTCGTGCTCTCTATCTCTCATTCTCTCTCTCTCAAGTAAATTAAAAAAAAAAACTTAAAAAAAAAAAAAAGAATACCTTATGTACTTCAAGTGGTGGGTAAATAAAATCTTGGTATGTGTTATTGCAATGATAGGAAAGGAGTAGATCATGTATTAATGCTATGCTTAATGGAAAACAAGGCGTAAAGTGTGTGTGTTGCAGGGAAATACACTGTATTGATGCTGAACCTAATTGTAAGTATTTAATAGCAAAATAATCCAATTAAAAGTCTGCTTTCACCTTCAAATACTTATAAAAATACTTTGTTTAGATCTGCTGGCTTTAATTTCAGAATCCAGTATCTTCTGAGTTTTTACTATGCTCATCAAAGTACAGTGCTAAATATGATACGTTGTCATCTTACTGGACAGTAAAAAGAACTTTACAAAGTAGTTTCCCCAGTGACCCCCCCACTCATTTTTTTTTAGTTGTAGTATAATTAACATACAATGTTATATTAGTTTCAGGCATATGACATAATGATTCCGCAAGTCTATACATTACTCATTACTCGTATGATAAGTATAGTCACCATTTGTCATCAAACAACATTACTATAATCTTACTGACTATATTTTCTTTGCTGAACTTTTCATTTTTGTGACTTGTTTTGTAACTGGAAGTTTGCACTTCTTAATCCGCTTTATTTTACCTATCCCCCCATCCACGTCCTCTTGAGCAACCACAAGCTTGTTCTCTGTATTTAAGAGTCTGGTTTTTGTCTTCTTTTTTCTTTACTCAGATTGTTTTATTTCTTAAATTCCATATATGAGTGAAATCATATGGTATTTGTCTTTCTCTGTCTGACTTACTTGACTCAGGTAGACTTATATGACTAGCATAATGCCTTCTAGGTCCATTCATGTTGTTGCAGATGGCCAGCTCTCATTCTTTTTTGTGGCTGAGTAATAATTATTCCGTATATATCACATCTTCTGTACCCATTCATCTGTCAGTGGACACTTGGGTGGCTTCCATATCTTGGCTAATGTAAATAATGCTGCAATAAACATAGGGATGCATATATCTTTTCGAATTAGTGTTTTTGTTTCCTTTGGGCGAATAGCCAGTAGTGGAATGACTGGATCCTATGGCCTGTTTTTTAATTTTTTGAGGAACCTCCATACTGTTTTCCACAGTGGCTGCACCAATTTGCATTCTGTCCAGTAGTGCCTGAGGGTTCCTCTTTCCCCACATCTTTACCAATTTCTTGTCTTTTGGGATTTTTTTGTTGTTGTTGTTTTGTCTTTTTATTATTTCTTTTTCGTTTTTGCCATTCTGGCAGGTGTAAGGTGATACCTCATTGTGGTTTTGATTTGCATTTCCCTGATGATGAGTGATGTTAAGCATCTTTTCATGTGTCTCTCGGCCATCGGTTTGTCTTCTTGGGAGAAAAGTCTATCGGGTCCTCTGCCCATTTTAATCAGATTATTTGGTTGTTCTTGATGCTGAGTTCATGTATTTTTGGATATTAATCCCTTATTGAATGTATCATTTGCAGATATCTTCTCCCATTCAGTTTGTTGCCTTTTTGTTTTGTTGATTGTTTCCTTTGCTATGCAAAAGTTTTTTATTTTGGGGTAGTCCCAGTAGTTTATTTTTGCTTTTGTTTGCCTTGCCTCAGGAAGCATAACTAGAAAAACGTTTCTACAGCTGATGCCAAAGAGATTATTGCCTATGTTTTCTTCTAGGAGTTGTATGGTTTCAGGTCTCACAGTTAGGTCTTTAGGCCGTTTTGAGTTTATTTTTGTGTATGGTGTAAGAAAGTGATCCAGTTTCATTCTTCGGCATGTTGCTGTCCAGTTTTTCCAGCCCCATTTGTTGAAGAGATTGTCTTTTCCCAGTTGTATATTCTCGCCTCCTTTGTCATAGATTGACCATATTAAGTGTGGGTTTATTTCTGCGCTCTCTATTCTGTTCCATTGATCTACGTGCCTCATTTTTGTGCCAGTGCCATACTGTTTTGAATCCTTCAGCTTTTTAGTGTATCTTGCAATCCGGGGTTGTGATACCTCAGTTTTGTTCTTCTTTCTCAAGATTGCTTTGGCTATTTGGAGTCTGTGCCTTCATACAAATTTCAGTATTATTCTAGTTCTGTGAACAATGCTGTTGGTATTTTGATAGGGATTGCAGTACATCTGTAGATTGCTTTCGGTAGTATGGACATATTAACAATATTGGTTCTTCCAATCCATGAGCATGAAATATCCTTCCATTTGTGTGTCATCTTCAGTTTCTTTCATCAGTTTTTTATGGTTTCATGTGTCTGTTGGCCATCTGTTTGTCTTCTTTGGAAAAATGTCTATCAGGTCCTCTGCCCATTTTAAATGAGATTGTTTTTTTTCTGATACTGAGTTGATGTGTTAAGAACAGAGCCATTGAGAATGTATGTTAAGGGAGAATAAACAAATCTCTTATTAAAGAACTATAGCAGAAGTTAGTTTGAGCTTCTTAATTTCTTCTGTGGTTTTAACATTTTAGTGTGGATGGATTAAGAGGAACCAGTGTCTTTTGTCCTAGTTTAGTTGTTTTCCAAGTGTGGTGCCCAGACAGCAGCATAAGTATTACCTTAGAACTTGTTAGAAACGAAAATTCTTGGGGCGCCTGGGTGGCTCAGTTGGTTAAGCATCGGCCTTCAGCTCAGGTCGTGATTCCAGGGTCCTGGGATGGAGACCCATGTCAGCCTCCCTGCTCAGTGGGGACCCTGTTTTTCCCTCTCCCTGTCCCTCTGCTACTCCCTCTCTTTGTGCTCTCTCGTGCTCTCTATCAAATAAATAAAATCTTAAAAAGGTAGGGGCACCTGGGTGGCTCAGTCGTTAGGCGTCTGCCTTCAGCTCAGGTCATGATCCCAGGGTTCTGGGATCGAGCCCCGCATCGGGCTCCCTGCTCCGCAGGAAGCCTGCTTCTCCCTCTCCCTCTCCCTGCCGCTCCCCCTGCTTGTTCTCTCTCTCGCTGTCTCTTTCTCTATCAAATAAATAAAATTAAAAAAAGAAATGAAAATCTTTCCTGAACCCAGATCCAGCCTAGATAAAATGAGACTACTCCTTGTATATGGGGTAGAGCAATGGATAATCATTCTGCCTGGTCACATCAGGATGAGTGAGGTAATGGGGATTTTTTTTTCCTTCTTTGTAATTCTGGACTTGTTGAATTAACAATGGCATCATTTGTGTGTTGGTAGGAATACTGATTTGATTGTTAACACTAACAGTAACGAGGCAGGTTAAAAATATTTAATGAGACCAATAAGTATTAGGTAATTTTATATGTGATATTTTTCTTCCATTTCCTTCCCCTTTAAATTACAGGCTCAGTAATAACTGTGTCTCCTTGGGGCTTTTTCTTTAGGTTAAAAATGTGTCTGCAGGCACACAAGACATGCCTCCCCCCCCTTCTGAATATGTGGAGAGAGTGGACAGTCCCATGGCCTACTCTTCCAATGGTAAAGTGAATGACAAGCGGTTGTATCCAGAGTTTTCCTATAAATCAACACCGTAAGTAGCATCTTCCTCCTTCAGATAGAATGAGTCTTAAAAATGAACATTTGCGTATGTTGAAAATCAGTTCCTGTTGTACCATTTGCTTTAAAATAAATAAATTTAACAGTTTCCCAAAGCTGGAGACTGATCTTTTGCATTGTTGATGGAGGCTTGGAAGAGGAGAAGGGTGGGACTGTGAGCTGGTAGGATCTTTTCCCCCTTCTAAGCTGAAAGTGCTTTTTTTCTCTTGCTGGTTTAATGGAGAAACGTTAAATTGATTTTTTTCGCTCTAAAAAAGGGGTTTTCTTCCCTGTTGCTGGTTTTGAAGTTGAAGTAAGAGTGAAGGATGTTATTGATATAAAGCAGAGCTGTCTGTCCTTGCCTGTAACTGCTAGATCTCATTAATGGATGGGGAAGATTGCTGGTTGATCACTCCCTAGCCACATACATTTTTATTTAACGAGAAGACTTTGAAATCAGGAATTCTGCGATCTCACTTGCTGTGCGAGACCCTTCATGTTGCTGGGGGGGATGGCTGTGAAACTGATAAAAGCCTGTAGGTGTAGATTTACAAGTAGTGTAATTAACCTCACAATGAGCTGCTGGCCTAGAGTAGGTGCCATTATGGTTATTGAAATGGTATCCCCATTGTGGTTTTAATTTACCCTAATGGCTATTTCTAATTCAACCTAATGACTAGTGAGGGAAGGGTATTAGAAATACTGTTATGGACTGGATATAATTTTTGCCTAAGGATGATAAAGTACTCTTCTTTTTTTTAATTTTTATTTTTTAAAGATTTTATTTATGTGACAGAGAGAGTGAGAGCAGGAACACAAGCAGGGGGAGTGGGAGAGGGAGAAGCAGGCTTCCCGCCGAGCAGGGAGCCTGATGTGGGGCTCGACCCCAGGACCCTGAGATCATGACCTGAGCCGAAGGCAGATGCTTAACAACTGAGCCACTCAGGCACCTCTTCTCTTTTTTTTTTTTTTCTTTTTTAAGATTCTATTTTTAAGTAATCTCTACACACACCGTGGGGCTGAAACTCACAACCTTTGAGATCAAGAGTCGCATATTCCAGCAACTGAACCAGGCAGCCACCCTTTTTTCTTATAATAATTCTAGAACTCCAAATTCCTTTGTAGACTAACAAATAAACATTCCCTTTAACTACTTTGATTGTTTTAAGTTAAAGGTGTTTCTGCTGGAAAACTTTGTGTTGCTTCAAAGTTTTATCTCCCAACTCCCTCCTCCACCCCCCCACCCCTCCCATATAGTGGTCCAATATAGATAGAAATCTCCCCTGAGTAGTTTGGGCACCTGGAACCCCTTAAGATGACACCAGCAGCTAAGCTAATCGTGGAATCAGTTTGAGACAGTAGGTTTTATTACTACTCTGGAATGGAATTTGGAAACAGATGGCAGTTTGCCTTACCCTCAATATATATTTTGTTTTGGTCTTCTGAATTGACTTTGCTGTTGGTTTCAGTTGTGAATGATTTGGAGGTAGAGCGTTTTCTCTGTTCTTCTGTTTGGACTTTGACAAAAATCCAAAGCACTTGAGGCTGTTAGGGACAGAGGTGTACAAAGTAGAGATAGAATCTTAAAGCTATGATTTGCATGACTTCCGTGCATATGTAGTAAATATTTATAATGCATCTTGTGACCAGCTGTGCCTCTTAATTAATTATAAAGCCTGAATGGTCACATAGCATTCCACATGCTGTCTCTTTTCATGAAAACCAAGATATTTTCACAAATTCATTTGGAACAATTTAAAAATCTTAGTTATTCTTGAATAAGCCAGTACATTTGAAATGTAAAATTTAAAAGGGACACAGTGATAGCTTTTGTCCCCAGCTACCTAGTTCCTATTCCTAGAGGCAGCTAGTGTTACCACTTTCTTTTTTTTTTTTTAAGTAGGCTTCACGCCTAGCGTGGAGCCAGGTACGGGGCTTGAACTCACAACCCTGAGATCAAAACCTGAGCTGAGATCAAGAGTCAGACACTTAACCAGCTGAGCCACCCAGGCATCCCACCAGTTTGTCTTATGTAACCTTCCAAAAATGATTTTTAAATAAATATGCTGGCCAAAATGTACATTAGTTATATCTTCCTTTAAAAAAAATAGTGGGGCACCTGGGTGGCTCATTCGGTTAAGCCACTGCCTTCGGCTCAGGTCATGATCCTGGAGTTCCTGGGTCGAGTCCCACATCGGGCTCCCTGCTCAGCAGGGAGTCTGCTTCTCCCTCTGACCCTACCCCCTCATGTGCTCTCTCTCTGTCTCATTCTCTCTCTACCAAATAAATAAATAAAATCTTTAAATAATAGCATCTTAAGGGGTACCTGGGTGGCTCAGTCAGTTAAGTGTCTAACTTCGGCTCAGGTCATGATCCCGGGGTCCTGGGATCAAGCCCGTGTTGGGCTCTCTGCTCAGCGGGGAGCCTGCTTCTCCCTCTCCCTCTGCCCCCCACTCGTGCTCCCTCGCTCTCCTCTCTCTCTCAAATAAATAAAAATAAAATCTTTTAAAAAATACTAGCATATTAAATGCATTATTAGCATATGTCTTGGAGATTGTGCGTATCGGTATACAAAGAGTTTACTGATCTGTTTTATAGCTGCATAATACTCCACCAGATGGATATACTATAATTTGTTAATCCCATATTGATGCACACTTTTCCCTAATGTTTTGTTATTACAGATCTCTGTAGCGTATAAACTTGTACATGTATCCCTTTTCACATATGTGAATGTAGCTAGAGGAAAAATACTAAAAGCAGGAGTGCTGAGCTGAAAGAAATTTCCTATTTCATTTTGATAGGTATACTCAAATTGTAGTCCCTAGGGGTTGTACTAATGTATATTCCCAGCCTAAACCCTAGAACTTTTTTGAAGGTCTGGGAAATGCAAATGTGATGCTTAGTTTCAAAATCCAGAAGAAGGGGAGGAGGGGGGCGGTGCTAAGGGATGTGATGGGGCATTATCTCCTGATTTGTATGCACTAATGCTGGAAGGAACCTGCAGCCTCTGGGGAATAATAGAAACTGCCAGGTGTTGCCCATGGCAGGGTACTGTATGCTCTGGAAGACTCAGAGCATATTCCCTTGGATGGGGTAGAGATGCACGTTAAGTCATAGGCTGACTCTCCTCAGGCTTTCATGAAGGTGGTTAGTGGCCCACAAGCGCCTCTCCTAGCTATCATGGTCAACAGACAAGGAATTCGAACGGGAACATTGTGTCTGAGGTCCATGGTAAGGATGAGGTAACCTCAACACTTAAGATTTTTTTTTCCCCAAAGCATAACACACATTCAGTAGAGTACTAATCTTGAGCATACAGTTTGATGATTTTTCGCACGTGTGAACGCTGAGGTAACACCACCACACCGGCAGAGAGACATACCAAGCACTCCAAAAGGTCCCCGTGTGCCCTTTCTTCATTGATAGCCCCATCCCCCCAACCACAGTTTTGATGCCTATAACTACCTGTTGAGTTTATTATTGAAGTTCTCTTATAAAGTGGAGTTATATGGTAATTACAGTTGCATCTCTCACTTTGTGCTCGTCATAATGTCCTCCTATATCTTAGAATTTCAAGGCAGTTAGAATTCATACTGGGTTAGGAGATAGCAGAATTTAATTGAAAATGGTTGCTTCTCCACCTTTTCTAATTAAATTTAGGAGATACCCCCTATTAGGTACATTCCGTTCTATCTTGTCCAAATCCAGGGTGAATTCATCTTTATAAATCAAGAAAGATGAATGTTGACATGTCACAGAGCTTTCAAGGCAGGCTGACACCCTAGAGTGCCAATGAACCCTTGTATGGTAGCGGTAAAGAGGCTAGTAGGATAATCTGTTAGGACTGTATATGAGTTGGCAGCAGCTCTTTCTGCCCACAGGTCCTGTCCCCGTGGTTTAATAAACCACCATTAAAAAACAAAACAAAAAAAAACTACGAGTTGTAGGAATTCACTGGTCTGCATTAGACCAAGGGGATGGTCTCACTTCAGGAATGGCGTGAGCCAGGAACTCAGAAGAAAGATATTACAACTCCTGTTGCTGTGTGGGCTTTATTGTCAGTACAGCTTGTATGAAAGGATGGTCATCCACATTTTCCAGGCTACATTTGACCTTCCAGCACAGGATTTGGAAAATGGAATGTTCTTTCCCAAAGCTGACATATAAAATATATTGAAAGATTCCTGATTGGCCCTTTTTGGATCATTGTCATTCCTAAGGCTAGGGAGATAGGGTTCTCTGATTGTCAAGGCTTAGATATTCCCCCCAATAATGGTGACAGTTCTGAAATACCATGTAGGGGCGCCTGGGTGGCTCAGTCGGTTAAGCATCTGACTTTGGCTCAGGTCATGATCTCAGGGTCTAGGGATCGAGTCCTGCATCGGGCTCTCTGCTTCGTGGGGAGCCTGCTTCTCCCTCTCCCTCTCCCCTCTGTCCCCTCTGTCTCTCAAATAAATAAATTCTTTGGGAAAAAAAATAAAAAATAAAATACCATGTACATAATAGACATTGTTCTGATAATCAGGACACTGATGTTGATCATGCCTTGTTTCTTTTCCCTCATGGATACTGGATGCCATCAGAAAAGAGGGTTCTTGTGAATGTTTTCAATTCAGGAATTCTCTTAAACACCTGCCATGTACACAGTAGTTGGCTAGGTGCCCTGGGAATACCAAGTCCTTGTTCTCATGGAGGTGGCGATCTACCAGGGGCAGAAGACATGCACAGTAGCTACACTGAGAGTCAGGGTGAGGTAGGAGCACCAAAGGCATGTGAGGGAGGGTGTGTAAAGAAAACATATGAATAGAAAAGAAAGAATACACGAGGGTGAACTTCTGGACCTGAAGACTTGAGTTGGAGACCAGGGAAAGCATACAGCTGGTTGCCCCTTCAGGGTCATGCAGATTATGACTTAATGGAATTTGTATCTAAAAGTAGGTTCAAAAATTATTGACAGTACCCATATTCCCTAAGTCTTAAATTTATATATACTTGTGAGCATTTTGTGTTTAGGTTTTATGCTGTATTGAGTATGTTGCCCTCTATAGTGTTTCAAAGTATGTAGTAGAGTGGGAGGTGGAAAACTTCCAAAGTAAAGATTTATTTTTTTTAAAGATTTTATTTATTTATTTGAGAGAGAGGGAGAGAGAGCACAAGCAGGGGGAAGGGGCAGAGGGAGAGGGAGAAGCAGACTCCCCGCTGAGCAGGGAGCACAACAAAGTAAAGATTTATAATATCAGTATCTAATATAATTATGGGAGGAGGCCTGTTTTAATGTTTTAGGGGTTTTTTTCTAATTTCTTTTTTTTAAAGATTTTATTTATTTATTTAATTGAGAGAAAGTGTGAGAGGGAACACAAGCAGAGGGAGCGGGAGAGGGAGAAGCAGGCTTCCCGCCGAGCAGGGAGCCCGATGCGGGGCTCGATCCCAGGACCCTGGGATCATGACCTGAGCCGAAGGCAGTCGCTTAACAACTGAGCCACCCAGGCGCCCCTTTTTTTCCTAATTTCTTTTGCTGTTTAGCTTCCTTCTTCTCTAGCTCCTATTCCCTCAAATACACCTACTGTATTCCCAAAGCGAGAAGCAGAATACCTGGCAATTTTGGCAGAGTGTCTAGGAACTTGTTACTCATTGACTCATGGAGAAAGTCACATTTTCCCTTCTTTAGATGTAGCAATAACAGCACACAAAGCCACGGTGACCTGAATACATTCAGAAAGAAGGCATGAGTCCCATTTACCACCGCCAACTATGCACACACATCCCAAAGCTTTAGGCTTCTACAAGACATTAGTAAGTGTGATAGAAATCTGAAGACTTGGACAACAATTAGAAGCAAGCAGTTCTGGATCACCTAGAAAACAGACATAGCTCAAGATTATAGTTTCTGTAAATTGAAAGCAATGAGAAAACAAAGACTTCAGGCATTTTTAATAGTTGATTTGAATAGCAAGGCTGAGGTTAGAAAGTCTCTGGTGTGTTCTTTGTCTTCCTTTCAGTGCTCTTCTTGCCCGTTAGCTCTGCTACTAGGGAGAGTTTAGTTCTGCATCCCTGTTACTCACCAGGTACTTAACAGTTGCCACAGCTCTTGCTATTTTATTCCGCGTTTGGCTTCATTTTCATGCTTGTGGCAGAAACCTATGCAGTTGAAGATCTGATACAATATTAAATTATTGCATTAGAAAAATAAGTCTAATGGTAGTCCTTCCATGCCATTCAGTCTACATGGCTATAGGATTCACGTAGCAGTTTAAATTTTGAGTATTTTAGTTTTCCAAGATTGTATCTTGAAAAGAAAATTGATGTATAGGAGTCTAAAATTAATATTAAAAATGCTTACCTCTGAGCGTTAGCTTCCGAACGTAGACAGATACATGCATTTCTCTTCAGCACTCCGCATTCCATGAAACTGGAAGAACCTGTAGAAAAGAATCCTGAGTTGTTATTTTCCTGACCGCCTTTTGTGGAGTAAGTCCCTGGCACAGGTCTGGTAAACACCTCTTCCAGATCAGCCTGGGCTTCCTAAAGTGCAGTCTTAGGTCCATCTTACTTAGAAGGTTTTACAAACGGGTTCCCCTTACATCAGAACCTTACAGCCACTTGGTGTGTTCCAGAGGGCCTGAGCTGGTGCTTACCTGCACGCAGGAGCCTAGGGATCTGTCTCGTGTTGAGTAGGTGAACTGCTTGCGTGAACGCACGTAGGTGTGGAGGTCTCTTGGTGCGAGCTGTTGCTGCCCTCTGTGATGACAGGGCACTCCCTGGCCTCGCGATCCCCAAACAGTGCTGTTTTGTCAGGGTGCCCGAAGTGGTGCGGGAGCTGCCGGTGACCTCAGCTGTGGGCGACCTCAGGCAGCCTCACTACAGCAGCAGCAGGAACTTGGAGACGCCTTCCAAGAGGGCCCCTACGAAAGGCAGGGCGGGCAAGGCCAAGCGGCCGGAGCAGGACCACTACGAGACAGACTACACAACTGGCGGCGAGTCGTGCGACGAGCTGGAGGAGGACTGGATCAGGTAGTGGGGTGCCTCTTATGCACGGGATCTGATTGCTGGCCTGGGCCAGCCGGCTTGGGGACTGCTTGCCTGCTCCGCTGGGGTGCTGTGGCGCACTTTCATTCTTTGACAGCCAGGACTGGAGATATTTTTTGTTGGGTTTTTCTCCCCTTAGTACTCTTTGGTAATAAAGATGGACAGGGAGGGGATATGCTTGGCTGTGACTATGTCCTAAAAACACACTGAGCGTCTTCCACAAGGTGACCGATGAACTTCACCAGTGCTCTTGCACCAGTAGTCACCCAAGAAAGGTCTTCCAAACAAATAAAACACCAGTATAGAGGAACTTCGGTTACTGATTATAAAATTCCCAGACCAGTGCTATGGCTTTCTTTGGCATTCACTTTTAAGGTTTCATGATGAGACCAGAGATTCTTTTAAAAGTTTAATCCAGAGGACTTTGGCAAACAGTTATATAAACAATTAAGTTAACAATTCAGTGTTCTGGCCAAGGCTGTGGTTAAGTTCCTAGGTGTTGGTGGTTGAGTTACAGTTCATCATTACCAACTATACTCATGTGTGATGTGTAGCCCTTTGATGCCCAGGTATTCTGAGAAATGGGACACAAATCAGAAACATTTGTGGTGTGAATGGTGGTTCATCACAACATTGCTTCTCAGGGTGTAAGGAGGCGATGAGTGGTATAGTATAGTTTGAAATCTCACTGGGGGTTCTCATACCTCACCTTCCCCTCTGTCCACAGGAGTTCTTGGCCAGGGATGCCTGAGTAGCTCAGTAGGTTAAACCTCTGGCTCTTGGTTTTGGCTCATGTTATGATATCGAGCCACATGTGGGGCTCCCCACTCAGTGGGGAGTCTGCTTGAGATTCTCTCCCTTTCCCCCTCCCCCACACGCTTACTTGCTCTCTGTCTCTCAGATCTTCAGAAAGAGAAGTTCTTGGCCAAGTTCAGCCATCTAGCTATAAAATACTTTTTTAACTTGAATCACTGAAGATTTAAATGAAAACTTTTAAGAAACCTGAATTCTTCTTTCGAGCAAACCATTTAATTTCTCCCCTTTGTAAAAATGAAGATGTTAGGCCAATTTAGATAATAAAAATTGAAATTCCATGTTGCTATGCAGTTCCTTAGTTCTGTGAAACAGTTCAAAGTATTTCCTTAGTGGATTATTAGTTAATAGCATCACGGTGATATGTAAAAATAGCTAGTATATTGAGAGATACAGGTGACACAGAATTTCAGGGTTATTTTCGGTTTAGTGCATTGCCACATTATTTGTACGATGAGCATGTATTTTCGTACATGTACATTTAAAGTCTACTTTTATAATCAAAGGACTTAAAATAAGCTATTTCTGCTTAGGAAAACAAGATCAATCAATTGAAAAAACAATCTAAAATCTGTAGTTGGTAGCAGAAAACAACCAGCTGCCAGTCAGTTGCTCTGCCACTCTAATGATGAAAACATACTGTGTTCCAGAATTCCAGTTTTAAGACTTTAAACGTAAATATTCTATTATCATGTGGTGGTGTATATTTAGGATAAATGAGTTCGTATGACTTGAACCTTAAATTTCATAAATGATTTTTAATTTTATTTCTAAAAATTATATAAGCATAGTATTTTATTTTTAAAGCTGTATGTATTTTATTTTATTTTATTTTTTTTTTATTTATTTTTTTTTTTAAAGATTTTGTTTATTTATTTGAGAGAGAGAGAATGAGAGATAGAGAGCATGAGAGGGAAGAGGGTCAGAGGGAGAAGCAGACTCCCTGCTGAGCAGGAGCCCGATGTGGGACTCGATCCCGGGACTCCAGGATCATGACCTGAGCCGAAGGCAGTCGCTTAACCAACTGAGCCACCCAGGCGCCCAAAGCTGTATGTATTTTAGAGACAGGGCATGCACGACCTTAGGGAGGGGTAGAGCGAGAGCGGGAATCTCAAACCGACTCCCCATGGAGCATGGAGCTGATGCAGGGCTTGATCCCAGGACCCTGAGGTCATGACCTGAGCAGAAACCAAGAGTCAGCCACTCAACTGACTGAGCCACCCAGGCACTGCCCGCGGCCCCTCCCAGCAGAGTATTTTTAAAAGCATAAGCAGTAGTGTATAATGTATAATCATTCTTTTTTTTTTTTTTTTTTTTGAGAGAGTGAGAGCAGTGGGGTGGGGCAGAGGGAATGGGAGAGAATCTTAAGCAGCTGCCACGTTGAGCCTGGAGCCTGAAGAGGCTAGATCTCATGACCCTAAGATCATGACCTAAGCCAAAATCAGGAGTCTGATGCCCTAGGCACCCCTAACCTATAATCTTCTTAAGAGAACTTATTTGCATCCCACCTTCCTCTTTCCATAAGGAACAAAAGAAGACAGGAGATTGTCATTCTTTACATCCCACCAGCTTCATTATCTTTGATGAAGAAACACTGGATTTTATGTCTGCTAGAGTCATAAGTAGTCATTTTCTCAATTTTTAGGGAATATCCACCCATCACTTCAGATCAACAAAGACAACTCTACAAGAGAAATTTTGACACTGGCCTGCAGGAATACAAGAGCTTACAAGCAGAACTTGATGAGGTCAATAAAGAACTCTCTCGTCTGGATAAAGAATTGGATGACTATAGAGAAGAAAATGAAGAGTACATGGTAAATTCAAACCTGATAACTATATATTATATATGATGTTATTCTAATCTATGAAGATCTAGTATCCTTTCTGTTATCAGATTTTGCTAGCAATTCTCAAATTGATTTCACTGAAAAATAACTGAAATCCAGTCTTGGATGAAAGTCTTTCCAAATTGAAGAGTATACTAATGTAGTTAAGAAGTACAAAACATAGGCTATGTACATATATTCCTTCCTATTTAAAAAAAAAACTATTTTTCTATTTATAAACACAGTTCATTCTTTCTGTAAAATATTACAGAATCAGGTACAGGAAAATAAACTGCCTTAAATTCTATCACCTGGTTGTCACCAAGGTAATAGTTGTTAAAATATCCCCATCATGCAAAAGTGCACCTAGACACACACCATCTTTGATAAGAAGTTATCTTATGTTTTATGTCAGTATCGACTCATGGATATCTATTTTATACTTCGGGTTATAATCCAATACTAACTTATTGCTCAAATTATTTTATATATGTATAATATGTAATATGTTAACTCATATATTTAATAATATATACGTCACAAATACATATATTAGTGTGTGTATATGTAAATATATTTACCATATAGATATACATATGCATATGCATATGTATTTAAGTTAGTTACTAGGGAGCTCAGACCAGTTTCATAATGGGCTGTAACCAGATGAGAGCTATGCTTTACAGAAGATCTCTGGTGTCAGCATGGCACGTGGACCAGCATGAGGACAGATGAGAGGCAGCAAAACAGATAGTTACCTGTCTGTGTGAATGGAACGTGAGGAATAAGTCCTAGATTTCTCTTTACTGGCGTCCTTCAGGCCCTCTTGCTGACTGTAATAGTTGTACGAACCTAAAAACTTCATTATTTTAATTTCCTGTATTTTTGGCATTGTTGTCAGTTTTAGCTCCAAAATAGAACATCAAGAATGTTATTTTTGAAAGAGAAAATGTCCCACTAAACATATTCTCTTGTGTTTCTCATTAATAGGCTGCTGCTGATGAGTACAATAGACTGAAGCAAGTTAAGGGAGTAAGTATCCCAGATTGTAAGATTCTTTCAGGAAGAAGTTTTCTATTATGTGGTTTTTTTTTTAAGATTTTATTTATTTATTTGAGAGAGAGAATGAGATAGAGAGAGAGAGAGCATGAGACAGGGGAGGGTCAAAGGGAGAACTCCCTGCTGAGCAGGGAGCCCGATGCGGGACTCGATCCTGGGACTCCAGGATCATGACCTGAGCCGAAGGCAGTCGCTTAACCAACTGAGCCACCCAGGCGCCCAGTGTTTTTTTTTTTTTTTTTAAGATTTTATTTATTTATTTGAGAGAGAGAATGAGAGAGAAAGAGAGAGAGCATGAGAGGGGGGAGGGTCAAAGGGATAAACAGACTCCCTCCTGAGCAGGGAGCCCGATGCGGGGCTTGATCCCGGGACTCAGGGATCATGACCTGAGCCGAAGGCAGATGCTTAACCAACTGAGCCACCCAGGCGCCCCTTGTTGTAGAGATTTCTTTAAAAAAATAAAAAAATAAAAAAAGTAAAGTATATAGTAAAATTCCTCATTTAACCATTTCTTCTTTCCCAAGTCAACCAATATCACCAGTTTTTGTTTTACTGATTTTTTTTAAAGGTTTTATTTTGAGGGGGTGCCTGGGTGGCTGAGTCGGTTAAGTGTCTGCCTTCAGCTCAGGTCATGATCCCTGGGTCTGGGATTGAGTCCCGTGTTGGGCTCCTTGCTCACAGGGAGCCTGCTTCTCCCTTTGCCTCTGCCTGTTGCTCACCCTGCTTGTACTCTCTCCCTCTCTCTCTCTCTCTCTCTGACAAGATGGTTAAGCGTCTGCCTTTGGCTCAAGTCATGATCTCTAGGTTCTGGGATGGAGCCCCACATCAGCAGGGAACCTGCTTCCCCCTCTGCCTCTCCCCCTGCTGGTGCACTCTCTTTCTCTCTCTCAAATAAACAAAATCTTAAAAAAAAAAAAAAAAGATTTTATTTTTAAGTTATCTCTTCACTCAGCGTATTGCTTGAACCCACAGTCCTGAGACCAAGAGTCACATGCTCTACCAACTGAGCCGGCCAAGCACCCCTGTTTACTGATTTTTTAGATGATGTGTTCCCAAAAAGGCCAGTAAGTGGCTTGGGTCACTTTACAAACCAGTAGGAATTAGCGTATGCTTTGTAAAACTCAGGTTAGAAGGTATGATTGAGCAAAAAGAATCAGCTACCTATATGATCAGAGAAACTGCCAGATGCCTGTATCATCACCCCCAACAATTTTATTTGACTAATACTCGATTTTTTTTTTAAGATTTTATATATTTGACAGAGCACAAGCAGGGGCGTGGCAGGCAGAGGGAGAGTGAGAAGCAGGCTGCCTGCTCAGCTGAATGCGGGGCTTGATCCCAGGACTCTGGGATCATGACCTGAGCCAAAGGCAGATACTCAACCAGCTGAGCCACCCAGATGCCCCTATTCTACGTTTTTTTTTTTTTATTCACCTCTGCCTCCCTAGCAGCTAACACAACTTTTTATTTTGTTAAATTTACCTAGTTTATTTTTTTTTCCTTTTTAGTCTGCAGATTACAAAAATAAGAGGAATTATTGCAAACAGTTGAAGAGCAAATTGTCACACATCAAGAAGATGGTCGGAGATTATGATAGACAGAAAACATAGAAGGTCTGCCACACGGTTTGAGAGATTAAGAAGTATTTGACATCTCTGCAATGTTGTCAAGAGGCAAAATGACTTTGGATTTTAACCCAGGAGGCCAAATCTTTGTGATCATTACAAAGTTTTGGTAGCTTTAATTCATCAGTATTGAGTATTGAAGCATTTTATAAATAGCTTTTGATAATCAACTGGGCTGAACACTCCAATTAAGGATTCTGTGCTTTAAAATTCATCTATTGTATTAAGGACTGACTGACTACAGGTTGAGGTTTTTAAACCTTGAAGGAACGTCCCACGGTGACCTGTGCTGTGAACTTGCACAGTCTTTTCTTAACACGTAAGTGCGCTCATTAGTTCCCATAGGTGATCTCATCCATTCCTCCCAGAACTCTGCCTTCAAAACTGTTATTTATAACCATTCCTTCTAAGGTAAGGAAACTCTGTCCCTGCAGTGAAGTCTCTGAAGGGAAAGTGCCTGTTATCCGGCTTGCAGTTTTTTTTTCAGTCTGTTTTGTGACTTCAGTCCATGAATAAAGTTCCTGGCCTTTTGTATGTTAGCTAACTATCGCTAGTGCATTCTACCAACCTCCCTACTGATTTTTTTTTTCTCCTCTGTATCAGTGGTGTTAAAAGAGCTTTTTATTGTTTTATGTTATCCAGAGAATAAAGATCATGTAAAAATAACAAATTGTGAAACTTAAAGATTGTAAATATATATTCACCTTTTAAGAATCAAAATTTAAACCTCCTGATTAGAATTCTGTTGTGTATTCTAAAATACTTTGTAATCTTTTATGGTTTACATGCATTTTTTTTTTTTAAACTAGGCTTTTTCATTATATCAGTATCTGATGACGTTGCTAATTCGGTTGTGACTTGAATTGTATCTTAAACAATGTTCAAGTTCTGTATATACTTCCTAAGGTATTAAGCCTGGTGTCGTCTTCTTTCATATAGTCGTTTGACATTATTAGTGCTATTAAGTTTGGGGTTTTATCTGTTAATGTTTTAAACTATTTTGGGTGCTGTGCTGGTTACTAAATTTCCCAGTCTTTTGGCTATCAGAAGGCTGATTTGTCTGGAAACAGAGGGTGATCCCGCAAAACATCAAATTATTTCAGATGGTGCTCTCGGTTCATCACTTTTTTTTTAACTTAAATTTTTATTAGTAAAGTGAAAGTAGCTGATAGTGGGCATATAGCTAGCCCAGTTGATTGTGATTATCCCCTCAGTTTAGAACTGTTTTTGTAAAATTTTTGAAGAATAATCTTTAATCATTAGTATACAATTCAGACAAGTATGTAATTCTTTATATACAAGTCTGAATCATTTTCCAAAGATACATCTTAAAATAATGTTTCTATTATAACATTGATTCATTTCTTCAAATTGAAGAAATTCTTAATTTTCCATGTGCTGTACTTACTACAAAAGGTAAGAGTGTATAGTTTTCATACCTTTTGGTTTCACACCGAATGGTAAAGACTCTCTTGAGCAACTTAACTCATTTTTATGTATGCTAAAATTTAAATTTCTTTGTTCTTGGAAGTCAGTGTACTTATATCATGAAGATGGCAAGGATGCCAGGATTCTGACAAAACTATACAGCTCAATGAACAAAATCAAATAGCATGAATTTCCATTGTAAAATTGTGTCAGAAAATTGGACTTAGAAATAAAATACAAGAAAATAATTTCTCAAATGTGGTACTTAAAGACCACTTGGGATTAACCAGCTGGATGTAACTAAAGAACCACTTAGGCCGATTTCTAGTTTGGACAACAAGATGTTTAGATTAGTTGTTGGAGCTCTCGTGCATCTCTGACTTGAGATTCTTACGTCTGCAGTCTGCCTTCTATTTTAAACGATTGTTCCAGAAATTCTGTTGTGAAAGCATGTGGTCCTGCTGATAAAGGTTAACTGCACACAGGGATGCCTTTACATAGATGCTTCTGTATTCAAAGTAGAGAAGATCAATATTTTAATTTCTCTTTATTTTGAAAAATTTAAAGAAAAATAGAAAACTATAAACACATATCCATCTGCCAGAAAGAACAGGTCTTAGTTTTGTCATATATGCCTTGTATTTTTTGAAATAAATTGAAGCCTATTGCTATTTATAGTGAAAGTTACATTGTATACACACATATATGAAATTATCATTTAATCCTTATAACATTCCATTGACATGTAATCATTTCTCATTCTCATTTAACAGGTAAGAAAACTGATGATGTGGTAGATTAACTGGTCCACTGTCAGGCAGTAGCAAGTGTTTAAATAGGATTGGAATCTTGGTCTGTTGGAATATTAGGTTTTGGACTCCCATTCTAGGTTGACTGTCACTAAATTCATGGGTAAGATGGGATTACTCTGGTGTTAATAAAATATATTTTTAGTGCATTTTAAGTACTATTAATTGACATAAAATGCTTCGTTTGAAATATGGGAAGTATCTGTAAAGACCTGAATGGGTGTGCATGTGTAAAGAAGGGTATGAGCAGGAGAAGAGTTCTCCAGTCATGGCTCTGGGGACTTTCAGTTGAGGCTGTAAGAGTTCCTCACACAGAGACATGCTCCCTGCTTCATCACTGTGATAGAAGTATCTCCTCTGGACATCTCTGAAAGCTCAGCTGGAGTAATCAGGATTCAGACCCCGTCTCCTGGCAGCTTGTGGTTCTACATTAACTGTGTAACTTCTGTGGAAGGACAAATGACTTAGATGGACAGCTGTGTCATCCCTCCTCCTGCGTTTTATACTGTTCACATGTCTTTTTTTTTTTTTTTTAAAGATTTTTTTATTTATTTGACAGAGACAGGGAGAGAGGGAACACAAGCAGGGGGAGTGGGAGAGGGAGAAGCAGGCTTCCCGCCGAGCAGGGAGCCCGATGCGGGGCTTGATCCCAGGACCCTGAGATCATGACCCGAGCTGAAGGCAGACGCTTAACAACTGAGCCACCCAGGTGCCCCCACATGTCTTTTAATGGGAAGTTTTCACAAAGAAAAATGCCCAAGTAACTTGGGTGGTTTCTTTTGTTTTGTTTTTTTATTTTATTTATTTTTTTGTCAGAGAGAGCACAAGCAGGGGGAGCGGCAGGCTCTCTGCCAAGCAAGGAGCCCAACTCTGGGCTCCATCCCAGGACCCTGGGATCATGACCTGAGCTGAAGGCAGACGCCTAACCGACTGAGCCACCCAGGCGTCCCTAACTTGGGTAGTTTTTAGAAAGCACTGTTAAGTTAAAATAATGCCACTTTGCAGTTAGAGAAAAGCATGGAAACATAATTGATTTTGTGGGGGGGACTGCATCCCAATGTAGGGGTCCCCCAAGATTTCTAGCCGCTGTCACAGGACCCTCGCTCTTCCCGGCTGGGTCGTCCTATTCTTGCATTGCCTTGCAGCAATTACTTGCTGTGTGACCCTGGACAAATTACTTAGCCTTCCTGCCCCTCAGTTTGTTTGTTTGTTTAAGAACTATGTGTACCTGATCTCACAGTTGTTATGAAGGTAGTTAATGTAGGACTTAGAACAACAGTCCTTGTCAGAATGTAATAAACATGGCCAGTTAAACCGATTTCCCACAGCTGGAAGCTGAGACTTGAAACAAGTTTTTAAAAAACAAATTGTGGGGCGCCTGGGTGGCTCAGTTGGTTAAGCGACTGCCTTCGGCTCAGGTCATGATCCTGGAGTCCCGGATCGAGTCCCGCATCGGGCTCCTTGCTGAGCAGGGAGCCTGCTTCTCCCTCTGACCCTACCCCCTCTCATGTACTCTCTCTCTCATTCTCGCTCTCTCAAATAAATAAATAAATCTTAAAAAAAATAAAAAATAAAAAACAAATTGTATTTTAAGAGTGTGTGTATCATCCCAGTCCTTATTTGGTCTGTGCTGGGTGCAGCGTTAGGGTATGAGTTCTTTTGAATTTTAGATAATTGCATTAGGCTTGGCACTGTGACTTAATAGATGATGAACAAGTGCTATAACATGTCAAAATAAGGATTATTCTATTCTGTTAAAAGCAGTTGTGGAGGTTTTTAATGAGTCTCTGTGTGAGAAAGTATCTTTACAGATACTTCCATCAAGTTCACCTCTCCCAGTCTCCAAAGTTGTGCATGCTGAATTTTAGGGTAATAACACTGGCTGAGTTCTTCATAAATTTATTAACCCTGGGGACTGTGTTCAGCTACCCATGGGCAAAGAACAGACTGGTCCATTTTTCATAGCTGTCCCTTCGTTTTACTAGTTGAAACATTAGGCTAGGTTAGATCCATTTCTTTTCCCAATTTGTATACAATTAGAATGTTGTGTCAGCCATAGTTACGGCAAGGGATTACCATGGATTTATGCACGTTTTGTTTTGCCTTGGTACAACTCCTAGTTAAGATCTATGACTAAAATATATACAGAGGAAAGTAAACTTCACAGTGAGTTTGAATGATCCAGCCTCCTCTCCACAAGTATACTTTACTGGGGACTCCTTTTTTTTTTTTTTTCATTCAAAAGAAAAGCCTTCCCTAGGGGTGCCTGGCTGGCTCAGTCGGTTGAACATGGGACTCGTGATCTCAGGGTCATGAGTTTAAGCCCCACATTGGGTGTGGAGCCTACATAAAATAAAAATTAAAAAAATTTTAATTAAGTCTTCCCAGGGGCGCCTGGGTGGCTCAGTCGGTTAAGCCGCTGCCTTCAGCTCAGGTCATGATCCCAGGGTCCTGGGATCGAGCACCATGTCAGGCTCCCTGCTCAGCGGGGAGCATGCTTCTTCCTCTCCCTCTCCCTGCTGTTCTGCCTACTTGTGCTCTCTCTCTCTGTCAGGTAAATAAATAAAATCTTTAAAAAAAAAAAAAAGGTCTTCCCAGACTGATGGATAGTGAACATAGGCAAGTTACATGCTTGGGGCTTGGGGTTGTGGCCAGTTGTCCCATAGGAATGCATACTGTCCTGGAACATGATGGCCAACCAGAATGGAGGAAAAGAAAAAGTGGAGTTTGTGAAAGGAAGGGAGGATAGAGGGAAAGTAGGAAGGGCAAGGAAAAAGTGTGAGTCCTGTGAAGAGTTAAAGATGTGGGGGAGGCAAAAACAAAAGGTGACTGGCACTGGGAAAGAATCAGCAATGCCAAATTCTCTTCTCCTTTTTAAAGACAACACTGAAAATAATAAGGTCTTTGTCCTCTGGGGGGAAATAAAAGTAGCTGGTAATGGAGTTGCCACTATGTCGTGTGTAGGTGAAGGTATCCCTACTTTATACATAACACATAGTTTGTGACTTGCTTGTTGGTCACCCAGGTAGTGTGGCAGAGTCTAATTTTAAATCCAGGTCTTTTCTTTCCAGTATCATGCAGCATGGCTTGTTTATGTTTTTGAGGGGGCAGAACACAAGGGAAGATGTTGGTACCAACAAAGTAATATAGGCAGCAGAGGGGGAGCGTACGCTGATGGGGAAATAAGCTCCAGTTCCTGCAGTTCCTTCCCACTGTTCCTCACGTGGATGTAAGCTTTCTCTGATGCTCTGGCTGGACCTTGCATCTCCTTTTCTCAAGTGTGGGAAATGCTTAGTGTCGTCTAAAAAAAAAAAAGCCAACCTCCAAGTAGGTTAGTAAATGCATTATTTGTCTTACTGAGGACTATGGCCCAGGAAACAGTATTTCAGATTGCTCAGAACTGCTCTGAAACTTAGCTTCACAGGGGGTTATATACGCAAAAGCGGGAAGGGGTAGATGTTGTGCTTGCAAGCAGTTCTCTAATTGTGATTATGTGTCACAAGGTACAGTCAGTTCCATTGTAAAAATTTAGCTTCACTGATTTCCACATAGACATGTGAAAAACCCTTGGGTCATCTTAATACATTGTGTTTCTATCATATTTGTTTAAAAAAATATTGCCTGCAGACCTCTGCCTAACTGGTTTCCACTTGTTTTTGGTTTCCGCATGAGGTCACCTCAGGTAGTCACAGGAGGCTGACATCTTAGGCCTTTAGCCTATTTTAAGGCACTGCCGTTTTCATGCACACTATTTCCATATGTATTAGCAGGCATCTCAAGCATCTCAAACTTGTCCAAAACTGAACAGATCTTACCACCCCCTATTCTCTCAGAAATTGCAACTCTAACCTTTCAGTTGCTCAGCTGAAAACTTTTGGGTCATTGGATCTTTTTTCCTAACACAATCTGGTCTATCGACAAGATCTAGAATCCAACCTTTCTCACTAGCTGCACTGTCATACTATCCTCGTCCAAACCACTATCATTCCTCCAAAGTTACTAAAATGTTCAGAGCCCGCGGCCGATTTCAGCAACCATCACTCAACCCGTTTTCTCATGCAGTCCCAGAAACATATGGATGGGTTTCCACCTCAGGGCCTTAGCCCTTGAGGTTCCCTTTGCCTCGGGAGGTCTTGCCCTGGGTATAAGTATGGTTAACTCCCTTCCTTATTCCGGTCATGGCTCAACTGTCAGCGAGGACTCCTCGGACTACACTGTTAAGCTGGGACCATGTTCCCCTTCCATGCTTAATTTTTCTCTATTTGCACTATCACCATTTGATACAGTATGTTTTTTTCGATAAATGTATTCATAGAGGAGTTCCACGGGGGGCAGGGATTAGTTTTAATTGCTATTTACTCAGTGCTTAGAACTGTACCAGGCCCAAAGCAGGTGCCCAATAATACTTGTTGCATGAACAGGAGCCGCAGAGCAGTCCCAGAAAACTCTTGCACCGCAAGGTTCTGGCTTAGTTGCCGCTGCTGCGATCAGTCCTTCATGCCAACCTTAGAGAAATAATACACAAAATTTAAGCTCTAAGATCCCAGGTCGACGGCCATCCGGCCGAACGGAGATCACTTTTCCCGCGTTTTTGTGAATAACGGCGGAGAGTGGGGCAAGAGGCTCCTTCTCGCAGCTTCATCAGCTTCTGGGACGCCCGGCCCCCGAGCGCCCTGCTCCAGCGACCGACGCTCGCAGCAACCGGAACGTTAGTGCGTCGCCGCCGCGCTCAGGGGAAGGACTTCCGCCGAGGCCTTGGAGCCGACTGGACGGAGCTTCCGGGTAGAGCGGCGTCCTACGAGACCGGTGAGTCCGCGGGTAGAGCTGCTCGCGGAGCGAAGGTGCGGACCGACGGTCTGGGGAGCACGGCAGCAAGGAGGGGCCTTCGCGGCGCGACGGGGAATGGGGGGCGGAGGCTGAAGGGGGCCGACCAGCCTCTTGTGCTTTGTGGATTGAGGGTGGGAGGGAGCGTGTGAAGGGGGAGGAGGGCAACTTCCGTCTCTTAGCTGCATAGAACCATCTAGGGCTGCAGTCCAGGGAATGGCTCTCCTTCCCTAAAGCAGAACGCGAGTTTCGGGAATTGCGTGCGGCCTTGGGTTCGAGTTTGATTGCCTCCAGCTGTGTGACCTCGAGAGCGTTACCGGCCTTTTGAGCCTCGAGTTCCATGTGTGAAAACAGGATAGTGATCACCCATGCCTAGTAGCGCTTGGCAGGGTAAGGTGTGAATAAAAGCTTCATAAATTGCGATGTTTGGGGCAGATCTCGTTTGTTTGCAGTAGCATTCTGAGCTCATGTGACAGGAATCACACCAACAGGCTGACGCTAGGCACAGTGGCTTTTCTGGAGTTGGAGTTTCAGGAAACGGATCAATCAGCTTTTGGAGATAGGGACCTAAGAGGTCACCAACTACATCTTTCTCCAGGATGCATAACTTCCTTCTCTATTAGTAACATGCATTATAAACTTCCAGCTTCCCTTGGAACATCTGTAGTTATGCGAGCTTAATACCTCTGTCCTATCCTGTAATTTCCCATTGCAGTCTGCTCTAATTAGGAAGTCCTTGGATGTTGTGAGCCAGAAGTGTTCCTCTTTGCAGTTTCTGCTCATCAGTTCTGTGTTTCTGAACTTTAAGAAAATTAAAAGTAATAAACTAAGAATAAAATAGTGTAAGTATTGATATGATGGATGGCAGTAGTGACTTTGTAAGAATTTAAAAACATCAAGAACACTATGTAAGCTTTGATTTTTGTAATTCACAGTAAATACAGAATTTTGTAATTCACAGTAAATACAGAAACTTTCATGGAGGATCAAAAAGTTCATTTAATCACCATATCCTCTGAGTGCAGGCACTCATCATTAAACTTACCAGCACCAGCACAGTGTGTTGAAATAACACAAATGTTAGAATTAAGTCACTTGTCATTACTTCAGGCAATCTACCGAAGTATATACTAAAGTAGATCACCAGATTTCCTGAAACAAATAGATTTCTTCCAATGCCAGGGAATGGTTTGTTAATTCAGTGAGAGATACAGAACTTTAGCAAATAATACCTGATTATAGCAGGTGCCACAGAAAGCAGTGATGCCATGAAAGCAGTCTCCAACTTGTTAGTAGAGTTTCATTCCAAAAGTCCATTTATAAGTCAGTTCTTTAGATTTTAAAATCTATTTTTCTATAGAAAACCATGATGTAGGTGGAGGGTAAGGTCTTGCTTATGGTCCTTATTACAGAAATTAATTTTTGCTCCTGTCAGTGATGGGGTTTGTTTTGTCCTTAATGTCTTCTTGGCCCTTACGATTCCTTTGATCATATATAGAAGAAGGAAGCAGAAGGAAGTGAGAGCATAGGATGGGGAGGGAGATTCCATTTGGGATGATGGAAGTGTAGATGTGACTAGAATGTTTATTACTTGGCTCTGGTTAATAGATTTCCCCCACCACCAGTTTTATCCCTGATTATTAAAGAAATACATGTTCATATGAAAAATATGAAAATACAGAAAGTAATAAAACAAAAAACCAATCACCCTTCATCTAGATGAAACCATGTTGTATTGAATTACTGAACATTTCCTTTTTCTTTTTTTAATAGTTGAGATCATAATATACATTTAATACTGTGTCCTTTTTTGAGTTATGAGCTATAAGCATTTACCATTTATAAATAATAATTTTCATTTTAAAACTCATGATTGTGATGGGGCACCTAGCTGGCTCAGTCAGTAGAGCATGTGACTCTTGGTCTCTGGGTTGTGAGTTTGAGCCCCACTTTGAGCATAGAGCTTACTTAAAAAAAAGAATTTTTTTTTAAGATTTTATTTTTATTTATTTGACAGAGAGCGAGAGCAGGAACACAAGCGGGGGGGTGGGAGAGGGAGAAGCAGGCTTCCCGTGGAGGAGGGAGCCCGATGTGGGGCTCGTTCCCAGGACCCCGGGATCATGACCTGAGCCGAAGGCAGATGCTTAACGACTGAGCCACCCAGGTGCCCCAGATTTTTTTTTTTGATTATAAGGAAATTCACACATATACAAAGGCGGACAGGTAGTACAGTGAATCACCATGATCCATCACCCAGCTGTAATAATAACCATCATTTGTAGCTAATCTTGTTTCATCTATACCTTTACTCACTTTCCATAGTTCTGTGGTCTTGTCCTATGACTATAATGCATTTTTGTTTTTAAAAATTGTAAAAAGAGGGCGCCTGGGTGGCTCAGTCGTTAAGCATCTGCCTTCGGCTCAGGTCATGGTCCTAGGGTCCTGGGATTGAGCCCCGCATCAGGCTCACTGCTCAGCGGGAAGCCTGCTTCTCCCTCTCCCACTCCCCCTGCCTGTGTTCCTGCTCTCGCTGCTGTCCCTGTCTCTGTCAAATAAATAAATAAAATCTTTAAAAAAAAATTGTAAAAAGAGGGGCTCCTGGGTGGCTCAGTCATTAAGTGTCTGCCTTTGGCTCAGGTCATGATCCCAGGGTCCTGGGATCGAGTCCCACTTCGGGCTCCTTGCTCAGTGGGGAGCCTGCCGTTCCCCCCAGTTTGTGCGCTTGCTCTCTCTCTCTCTCTGACAAAAAAATAAAAATCTTTAAAACAACTTTAAAAAAATTTGTTAAAAGATGCTTATCTCTCTTAGTGCCAAACTTTTGCGTAAACGTTTATATTTTTTCTAACGGACGGGAAAAAGAGTTCCATGAGGATTTTGTGAAGTATTTTCGTTCAACAACAATTATTAAATAAATTGCAAAGAATTAGATGACCTTGCATTCTCTGTTTTTTACTTTGTATGTTTGCTTCCCTCTCTTTACTTTTCACTTTTAAACGTATGAATTTTGTGCCAGATATTTTTAGAAAATTCACACTCAGTGACTTTTACAGGATACTGAATAATACATTTAAGGAAAAAATGGATGAAGAACCTGAAAGAACTAAGCGATGGGAAGGAGGCTATGAAAGGACATGGTGAGTAGGGCATTATGACTCCCTTCTCGTTTACACAGTGTTTCTTACTGTTCTTCTACACCTTTATCTCTCTTCTCGTTCAGTGATTGGTTTTTTAAATTTATTAAAGTATATTTAACGCATGTTAAAATTCACCTGTTTCCAACTTATAATTCATTGATTTTTAGAAGATTTACTGAGTTGTGCAATCATCACCATAAATCAGTTTTAGAAAATTTTACCACCCTATTAAGATCCTTCATATCCAGGGATGCCTGGGTGGCTCAGTCGTTAAGCGTCTGCCTCCGGCTCAGGTCATGATCCCAGGGTCCTGGGATCGAGCCCCGAGCCCCGCATCGGGCTCCCTGCTCAACGGGTAGCCGCCTTCTGTCTCTCCCTCTGCCTGCCTGTCTGCCTACTTGTGATCTCTCTCTTTCTCTTGCTGTCAAATAAATAAAATCTTTAAAAAAAAATTAAAAAAAAAGATACTTCATGCCCATTTGTGATTAACTTCATTCCTACCTCCAGCTGTAGGCAACTGCTAATCTACTTTTTGTCTCTATGCATTTGCCTTCTTGGGTATTTCATGTAAATGTAATCTTAAAATATGTGGTCAGTATTGTCTCACTTCTTTCATATAACAGTATTTTCAAGGTTCATCCATGTTGTAGCAGGGATCAGTAATGCATTCCTTTTTATTACTTAATAGCATTATATTGTATACCATGTTTTCATTCATTCATTCATCAATTGATGGACATTTAGATTGATTATACTTTTTGGCTTTTATGAATAATGCAGCTGTGAACATTCATGTGCAGATCTCTGTGTGGACATATGTTTTCATTTCTTTTGGGTTAATAAAATTTTAGCTTTTCAGACAAGTAAATATTGCTTACAGGGAGATTCTTAAAGAAGATGAATCAGGATCACTTAAAGCTACGATAGAAGACATTCTCTTCAAAGCAAAGAGAAAAAGGTATGTAAACTTTTTGTAGGTGTGTTACTAAAGATAAAATAGTTTCCTTTAAGCCTTTCTGTCCACCTATACCCACTCCTCAGTACTTCATTTCAGCTGTATTCCAGAGAAACTGACCTTTAAACTCTTGAGTAGGGGGAAGGAACCAGCAACCTAGCACTTCAGAAGGGAAATGGGTCTTCAGGGACTGCCCAAAATGCCTGTAATTATGTGAACCCCATAAGTTGATAATTTACTTCACTAGAAAATGCAGGTTAGTTGAAAAGTTATATTGATTTTTTGGGTAATAGAGGACATTCCATTAAAATGTTTGCATAATTTTAACAGAGTATTTGAGCACCATGGACAAGTTCGACTTGGAATGGTATGTTGACATTTTTTTTCTTTACCAGTACAGAACTAGTTGGGTTAGAGAAGCATTCTGTCTTGACAGAATTAATACTAGTAAGACGACAAATATTTTAGAAGAATATATTAAAAATATATGTGTATGGGCGCCTGGGTGGCTCAGATGGTTGGGCGTCTGCCTTTGGCTCAGGTCATGATCCTGGAGTCCCAGGATAGAGCCCCACATCAGGCTCCCTGCTCAGCGGGGAGTCTGCTTCTCCCTCTCCCTCTGCCATTCCCTCCACTTGTGCCCTCTGGCTCTCTCTGTGTCAAATAAATAAAATCTTAAAAAAATATATACATATATATGTGTAGAATATGTAAATACTAAATGCCATTTTTACTTCTTGGTCAAAACAAATCGTTATATTTGTGGTTTATTTTTGGTAGATGCGTCATCTTTATGTGGTAGTAGATGGATCAAGAACAATGGAAGACCAAGATTTAAAGCCAAATAGACTGACTTGTACTTTAAAGGTATAGTAAAATCATTTTAATTTATACTAAATGTGAGAAAGGACGCTGAATTCTAAAAAAAAAAATTTTTTTTACTATAACATCTTTATTAAGATATAATTCACATACCATAAAATCAACATACTTAAAATATACTGTTAAAATTTTTTGCCTGTTACAGAGTTGTACAACATTATTACCACAATCAGTTTTAGAGCATTTTTATCATTACAAAAAGAAAACCCAGGGGTACCTGACTGGCTCGGTCAGAGGAGTGTGACTCTTGATCTCAGGGTTGTGAATTTGCGCCCCATGTTGCGTGCAGAAATTACTTAAATAAATAAAACTTTAAAAAAAAAAAAAAGGAAAGGAAAACAGAAGCAAATTTTCTGTAGTTTTGTCAAACAGTATTCCATTGTATACAACTTTGGGTTGTTTCCACTTTTGGGGGCCTTTTATGAATAATGCTGCTGGGAACATCTGTGAACAGGTTTTTATGTGGAGGATGTTTTCCCTTCTAAAGCTTGCTTTTAGCCTGGGTAGTTTATGTTTTATCCACTTTTCTGTGGCCTAAGAATAGCAGCTGGGATGAAATGGTGTGCACCAAAGGGGTGAAGCTCAGCTTGGGTGGTGTGCAGACTCTGCTGGATTTACAGGGCTTCATTTTATCTTCTGAGATTTTATTAACTGTCCTGTATCTTGTTTAACTAACTGGGCAGGGGAGGGAGCATATAATGCATTTCCATGAGGAGATACTCCCAGCTTTGGAACTCTTTTCCTCAATTAAGTGTGAAGCTTGGATTCTTCTCTTCTGAAAGGAAGTTTAGTTCTTAATTTCTTTCCCTATTCATTCATAACTTCTGGTAGAAGAGGAAAAAGAATAACAGTACTCTCTCTCTTCACTTCTTTCCAAAAGCAAGAGTATTAGCGAAATTTCTCAGGACTTTTTTCAGCCAGGAATGGGGCTTCAGAGGAGTAGGATGAAGTAGATGCTGAATCATACTGCTGGACTCAATTCTGCTCCAGAATGCTCCGCTCCTTTTCTTGTACATAAGTTTTCTAAATTTACTAGATTGGATTTGTCCTTTATCTTCTCTATTGGTGAATGTGTGTGTATTTATTACAGTACTGATCCACTCTCCACAGTTGAATGTCCACAGCATTCTCTCTTTAACACACTCCAGTTGGAATGGTACCTTCACAACTACATTTTCAAGGTCCACCATAATCTCCAGGATGTGAAACTCAACTCCTTTTTATCTTTAGTAGCAACTGAAATAGTTGACACTTAATCCTTCCTGAAAGGCATTCTTCTTTTGTTCTTTTTGTTTGTTTGTTTTGTGTGTGTGTGTGTGTGTGTGTGTGTGTTTTTAAGAACTCTGTACCCCTGATGTGGGGCTCGAACTCACGATCCCATGATCAAGATTCCCACACTCTAAGGACTGAGCTAGTCAGGCACCCCACACATCCTTCTTTTGACTTTGATTACATATAGTCTTTTTATTTCGTCTTAGGCTCCCCTCTCCCACTTTAGAATGCTGGAATGCCCTAGGACTTGGTCATAGTTCTTTTTTTCTGTCTACTCTCTTCCCTTGAGTAAATATCATACATTCCCATGAAGAAATTTTTTTAAAGAATGCATTTTTTTGAGTTTGTAATACAAACTATAGCTAAGTAGAAGTTTAATCACATCGTTTAGGAAAATGATACAACAAAATGACTAATATTTATGCTCTTAATTTCTGTCCTCCCACCCCAATCAGGGTCTTGCTTTGTCAATTATCCCTTTTCATTGTCTTTGGACTTACTCAGATCATTCCGCCCAGTTTATAAACACATTCAGATTATTTGTAATTTATTAAAACCCATCCTCGGTTATGCTCATTCTCTTGTTTCTGGCTTCATAGGATCTTTCCATGTTTAGATTACATCTGTCTCACAAGTCCATATGGTTCCATCTTTTATTTATCTTTTTATTTTTCGAAGATTTATTTATTAGAGCGCATGCACCAGGGTGTGGGGGTGGGGCCAACAGAATCTCCAGCAGACTCCCCACTGAGCACTGAACCTGACTTGGGGCTCAGTCTCATGACCCTGAGATCACTACCTGAGCCAAAATCAAGAGTCAGACTCTTAACCAACTGAGTAACCCAGTGCCCTGGTTCTATCTGTTAAACGCAGTTCATCACTTACCATTTTAAATTCAGGCTTATTTAATATTGTGATTTTTATTTATTTGAATATTTCAAAATTTATTTTTGTTTATTTAATATTTTTACTAAAATATTTGAAAATATTTTACTAAATATATTTGAAAATCTGTGTGCCTAATAATCTCATGAGAAGTGATGCTTGATAAATAGGTTTCACAAAACATTTCTTTATGGTTATTATTTTGCCCTTATCTAGTATTTTTGTTTTCTTTAAACAGTTATTGGAATACTTCGTAGAAGAATATTTTGATCAAAATCCTATTAGTCAGGTATGTAGATAAGTGATGGAACTCAGAATTAGATTCCTGCTATTACTGCCAATTCTAATTTATTTTTAAAACATTGGGCATACATTCTATGAATTATTAAGTGATCCAGATTGTGTACCAGTTTCTGGTACACTTATCAGTGACAAGCAAGGCAACTCTAAAAGTTAAATAATGTACAGTAAACTCTAGCTAAATTTCTGTCAAAAGCATCATGAGAAAAAGTTTCTCATATGTTACTTATGTCTTTTGTAATTACTAATTTATTTTCATTATGTACAGTCTTATGAAGAAGAAGTAATTTGTTAATAATCATTTTTGTTTTTATTTTGAGATTGGAATAATTGTAACAAAGAGTAAAAGAGCTGAAAAACTGACCGAACTCTCAGGTATGCATAAAATTACCTTTATAGGACTCAAAGACTTGGCTCTATTTACTCAACCTTGTAACCCTGTTCATAAGGTTGTCTAATAAGTAAAATGAAGACTTCTTTTATGCTCTCCATGTGAAACACTTAATAACCCCTCGATTAAATCCTCCAGTAAACTCTTGGTATCTAAGACGAACTGTTTTAAATTGAGTTCTGTACGGTAATGACTACTACTGCAATGAATGTAAATGTTTATTTAAGACTTATACATTCTTATCCTGAAAGTATTAAGATAAAATTACTGTAACCATTCCAAAAATCCACTTAGTCTTAAAATTAATTTTTTAGAAGTTAAGCCTCTAAAGAGCAAAGGATTTAAAAATTGAATTGCAGTTATTATTAATATTTCAGTTTTTCTGCTTACACGACATGCCTAACTGAATTTTATTCTCTTAAAATATAGTGCAGGTTTTATTAGCTTTGGTGCTGTTTTAACAAATTCACATCACTAATTCTATTTTAATTTCTGTGAAATACACTATCCCTTAAATGTGTTTCTCATCCTTTCATCCTTACCAATACAGATAAATTTGAAATGACATATTTTCATCCTGAACAGTTTTTCACTATGGCAGTAAGGAGTGAAATGTATGTTAGCCTGGAGTGATCAAGAAATTCAGTTATGAGTAACCAAAAAAAAAATCTCAAACTAGCTTTAGCATACAAGGGAAATTATTGACTCCCATCTAAAGGAGGGCTGATTTCACACATGGTAGTTTCCAGGGTTCCTGCCTCTGTTTGGCTTCATTCTCTTAAGTGAGGTGAAAAGATGTCTGTTACTAGCCCTGAGTGTCCATGACCCTCATAGTCTGTAGCTTCAGCACAAGTCCCACAGAGGTCTCGGAATGACCCTGCTTCTGATCTGCCCACCCATGAGCGAAGTGGCCAGAGGAATGCCGTATTGTGTTGGTAGGCCTGGATTACATGCCTGTTCCTGGAGCAGGATGGAAGCAGGGTAAGCAGCTGGTTTGTTATACTGTGAAGACAGAATGGTTTCCCCCAGGAAAGGACGTAGGACCAACCCTCTTGGCACCTTTCTCACATTCAGAGTAGTTTTCTATGGGTGCCAGAGAAGTCATACGTATAGGGATGAAAAATCCTCTGGATATTTTGATAGGCCTCTTGACAGCACTCCTTGTCTGTCTGATCAGAATCACTGCTGTAAACCACACTGACAGTAATCGAGTTCACTTTTTTCCTATACTCACAATACAATAGGAGGTGAACGAACTATTTTGTATGGTATGGTAGAAAGAGAAGTGGATAGAGAGCCAGGAGATGTAGGTTTAAGTGCTGGTCCTGCCACTGGGTAGGTATTTGTCTTTAGGCAAATCTGTTAGCTTGTTAGATTCATTTCTCACTTATGAAATGAGGGATTTGGACTTAGTGATGTACTTTTCATTTCTAAAATCTTAGGATTCTGAGACTAAATAAGTACTTGAAATATGTATTAAATAATGGCAAATGCTTAGTATTTTAAAACTTACTCAGATAAATAAGAACACGAAGAAGCTGTAAGTAGATGAATGGACAAAGACAACAGATAATTCATACCAGAATAAAAAGAGAAACGAAATAGCTATTAAAAAAGAAATTTTAGCCAAACAAGTGGTCAAAAAACAAAACCACTCAACAACATTTTATTATTTTATATATTTTAAATGAACAAAATGAAGTTTAAAGGGCAGTATATTGCTTGTGGAACCATGGAGAAACTGATACCTGTAGTGCTGATAGACTGATTAATTTATTTAACATTTTTGGGAAAAGATATAAAAATGGTTGTTCCTTGGAATTTATACTTAAGAAACATTATGAAAGAAGAAAAGCCTCATTCTACAAATATACTCCTTGTAACAGCAGTGACAAATTGGGAAGACATGTTCAGTATGGAGGTAGTTTGATGAATTATGTGATCAAACAATTTAATGCTATTTTGATTATCATTAATTAACATGAAGATGGTGTTAAAATAGGAGAAAATGTCAGAAGAATACCATGTCATTGAATCTAAGATTGCATCATTTGTAAGATACCTTTGTTTTATCAGCTGTCAAGAAGGAAACACCCTAGCAGTTAAAATATGATACAGTGGGCGCCTGGGTGGCTCAGATGGTTAAGCATCTGCCTTCGGCTCAGGTCATGATCCCAGGGTCCTGGGATCGAGTCCCGCATCGGGCTCCCTGCTAGGCGGGGAGCCTGCTTCTCCCTCTGCCTCTGCCTCTCTCTCTCTCTGATTTTCATGAATAAATAAATAAAACATTTAAAAAAAAAAAATAAAATAAAATATGATACAGTGTCAGATGATATATATAAATTGTTCACACCAAAAAATATATTGCTTGGGATGAGAAAATAGCAATAGACAATCTTTTCAGATGTTATTTCGGTAACAGAAGATAACACAGCTGTATTTATTTGCGGAAATCTTCCTTTCTTAGGTCTTCTAAATCTTTTTAATTTTTTTTTATTTTAAAGATTTTTATTTATTTATTTAACACAGAGAGCAGAAGTAGGCAAAGCGGCAGGCAGAGGGAAAGGGAGAAGCAGACTCTCCGCCAAGCAGGGAGCCCGATGTGGGGCTTCATCCCAGGACTCTGGGATCACGACCTGAGCCGGAGGCAGCCGCTCAACCGACTGAGCCACCCAGGCGCCCCTAAAGCTCTTTTTTTAATCCCCTGAAGAAAAATAGGGAATTGCAGTCTTTCTTCCATCAATGAATTTTTGCTTCACTGATAATATATACCTCACTGCTCTATTCCTTGCCTTTCTACATAAAAATAGAACCTTTTGTATTAATAACCTTTTATAGAAACATTTGAAATGGCAATAAAACTAGCCACGAGTAGCACAGTGTACAGGTGCAGTTGGAACAGCACCGTGGTAGCCATGCGTAGGCTCATGTGGGAGCAGGCAGTGACGTCTGCCGCACAGGTGCTCCCTGGCTGCCAGTGATGGTGAGACACAGCATGACTTCAGAGATGTGACAATGTGAAAATGTATGAGTCTTAAATGTAAAAAGTTTTGCACTTTAAGTTAGTAATATTTAAAATATGTGCTAATAGGGCACCTGGCTGGCTCAGTCAGTAGAGCATGCACCTCTTGGTCTCGGGGTCATAAGTTCGAGCCCCACGTTAAAAAAAAAAACAATGCGGGGCGCTGGGTGGCTCAGTCAGTTAAGGGTCTGCCTTTGGCTCAGGTCATGATCCCGGGGTCCTGGGATCGAGCCCCGCATCGGGCTCCCTGCTCAGCGGAGATCCTGCTTCTCCCTCTCCCTGCCACTCTGCCTACTTGTGCTCCCTTTCTCTCTCTCTCTGTCAAATAAATAAATAGAATCTTTAAAAAAAAATGTGCTAGTTCATAGAAACAGATTATTTTTATTCTTTCAGTATGAAGTAAAAGTTGATATAACAACACCTCTGATAAAAGTGCAACTTGCTAAAAATGTAAATCGAAGAGATTCTATTCTTTAACAACATAGATAAGTAAATATGGGGAGAAACAAATTTCCATAATGTATATATAAAATGTTATTGTAAGTAGATTATGCCATTTCTATTTTAGGAAACCCAAGGAAACATATAACATCTTTGAAGAAAGCTGTAGATATGACCTGTCATGGAGAACCATCCCTCTATAACTCCTTAAGCATGGCTATGCAAACTCTAAAGTTGGTATTTTACATTTTTTATTTATAATTGGTGCCCATCTTTTTTGAATGGAGATGAACACATATCAATATATTTCTCCATAAACTGAGCTGCAATGAAACCGTTAAGAGAAATATGTAATGTCGTTTATGATGTTTAGTGTGTTGTCGTTTGTAATTTTTATTTTACGTTTGAGTTGGTAACATAGATTCTTAGAGGTTTTAGAAAAATATAATTAAAACTGTAGCGATATTAGTACAAAATAAAATGTTGATGAAAAAATATTTTGTTAAAAATTAGATTGTATATGAAATTGAATGCCTAATAACTGAGTTTTTTGCACATTTATTGACTTCTCTTAAATTTGTAGCACATCTGCAAATTAACAGCATACTCTTCCAGCAAGTTCAGATATGTGGAAGGTAGCTAAGACCCTAATGGAAATTTTCCATTAGTGCTAGCGCATATATTTTGTCCCTGGATAGTCTGTCCTGACTTTTATAGCTTTATATAACAGATATTTTTCTAGTTTTGAAGTAGGTGAGAAGGAGCTAACACCCACATTAGAGGTAGGCAGAAGAGCAGCATCCACAAATGAAACCTGAGGGCCCAGCAATGCAGACAGAAGCAGGAAAGCTATAAATAGCTGATAAAATTGCATAGATTAAGATTGCATAGAAATCTATTTACGTAGATTTAGGGGAAAATAGTTCATCATGTCTTAAAGTCCTATAAATTATCATCTAATTAAATGATACACAAAAATTAATGTTTATGAATATTATCACTCTGAATCACCATGAGGTTAAATTATAGCCTTTAAAAAAGAAGCATGTTACTATCGTCAAGACACACCTTAAAGTTGATCCATATGGTATTGTCATACTTTCCAGTGTACACGTTAGACTTTGTACAAAACGAATCTACTAGGTTTGTAAGCTTCATGATGTCAGGAACCTCATTCATTCTTGCTTATTACTCTATTCCTAGAACCTAAAAGAGTATTCAGCAAATATTTATGGAAACAATAAATGAATCAGTTTTTTGTGTAGCTAATTTTAGAAAAATTTGACATGTTTAGAGTATACTCAATTCATTCCTTTGCAATGTTAAAACAAATGAGATATTCTATAGTCTAAATATATAAACCACATGTACTATTTTGTCTGGGTAAATTTTTTATTAATTTGTTATACCTAATGGGAATATATTTTATGTTTCTGTAGACACATGCCTGGACATACAAGTAGAGAAGTCCTAATCATCTTTAGCAGCCTCACAACTTGTGATCCGTCTAATATCTATGATCTAATCAAGGTAGAACCACTACCTTTCCTTATAATCAAAACCAGAGTTATAACTCTAAAGAGAATTCTATAGTGAATTTATTACTAGTTTTCAGAAAATTCTGTTTTTCAAACATACTAATTTTGGCATGTTTTTTTCCTTCCCCTGAAACCCTTTATTTACGTGGATTTTATGAAGACCCTAAAGGCAGCTAAAATTAGAGTGTCTGTTATCGGATTATCTGCAGAGGTTCGGGTTTGCACTGTACTTGCTCGTGAAACTGGTGGTATATATCTAGATTCCTCAGTATTTATTCATAATTACTCTGTAAGAAGTAACAATTTATTAATTAGTATGTTTTCATCTGTTTTTACAGTACTAAATTTAAATCACTTCATGTCCTGAAATCCATCATAATATCTAAAATGTATCATTGATTCTATAAGATATCTCAAAATGCAGGGACTTTTCAGTAGTTATGTCAGTGTTGAGAGGAAGTGTTTAATAACTCTTGAAATGCTGGAAATTTCACTAATATGTAATACTTTGTAAAGATCTTACGACTTGGCTTTAATTAAATTGTAATTATAGTTATTCCCAGAGAAGTCAATTTAGAGATGTCATTTAAATGAGGTTTTTGAAAAATGATAATTTAACTTAAATACTTATTTTGAAAATGTACATTTTCAGATGGTAAAACTTTTACAGAATTACATAGGAATTACAATTTAGGGGCTCCTGACTCAGTTGATAGAATGTGCGACTCTTGATCTTGGGGTTGTGAGTTTGAGCCTGGGTGTAGAGATTACTTAGAATAAAATTTTAAAAAAAAGAAAAGAAATTACAATTGATCTTGGGGTTGTGAGTTTGAGCCTGGGTGTAGAGATTACTTAGAATAAAATTTTTAAAAAAAGAAAAGAAATTACAATTGATACTTATATCTGAAAGCTGATTTTTCTTTTACTTTTTGTCTAATTAGGCACATACCATGTTATTTTAGATGAAAGCCATTATAAAGAATTGCTGACACATCATGTCAGTCCTCCGCCTGCTAGCTCAAGTTCTGAATGTTCACTTATTCGCATGGGTAAGTGTTTATTTTGTGTTATTTTAAAGTGGATATTTAGGAGCACGTGGGTGACTCGGTTAAGTGTATGCCTTCGGCTCATGTCATGATCCCGGGATCTTGGGATCCAGCCCCACATCGGGCTTCCCTGCTCGGTGGGGAGTCTGCTTCTCCCTCTGCCTCTGCCATTCCTGCTCTTGCTCTTTCTTTCTCTCTCTCAAATAAGTAAAACCTTTAAAAAATAATAAAAATAAAATAAAATAGATATTTATTTTTAAAGATTTATTTGAGGGGCGCCTGGGTGGCTCCGTCGTTAAGTGTCTGCCTTCGGCTCGGGTCGTGATCCCGGGGTCCTGGGATCGAGCCCCGTATCGGGCTCCCTGCTCAGTGGGAAGCCTGCTTCTCCCTCTCCCACTCCCTCTGCTTGTGTTCCCTCTCTCGCTGTGTCTCTATCAAATAAATAAATAAAATCTTTAAAAAAAAAAAGATTTATTTGAGAGAGGGAGTGTGCGCACCAAGCTTAGGGAGGAACAGAGAGAGACGGAGAGAGAATCTCAAGCAGACTCCATGCTGAGCATGGAGCCCTGGTGGGGCTCAATCTCATGACCCTGAGATCATGACCTGAGCCGAAATCAAGAGTTGCATACTTAACCAACTGAGCCATCCACACACCCCTACTTACTTGTTTTGATATATAGATAGACTTAAAATTTTTATGTAGTGAAATCTTTTTTTTTTTTTTATTGTTTTTGCTTTTCTTGGACGTGTTGTCAGAATTTGAAAAATATGTATGGAAAACAAACTGCATGGGTTTAGGCATTCCAAAATTTTAAGCATAGAAGTATATTCTTATATAAAATGAAAGTGGACAACTATGTAATAGATTACTCCAATGTATCAGAAGTATTTAAAAATTACAAACATTTTATTTTTAAAAAGCAGTGTGTGTTCTATTAAATTACATAGTTATAGACTTAAGAATCTGCAACCATATGTATGGACAGATCTTTCCCCACATTCTCCACTTTTAATTTTTCTCATAACCTGGAATTATAGTCAGCCTGACCATACTGCAGTAAACAAATCTGAAAGGCAGGAGAGAGAACTTTTGTACAACTTTGTGGGCTTTCTGGTAGGAACGTTTTTAGGTTCCTAATCCTACAATTTTGCTATTTGCTTGAAAAAAGAAAAGTAATACGTTTTCTTCTATGAAGGATTTCCCCAGCATACCATTGCTTCTCTGTCTGATCAAGATGCAAAACCCTCTTTCAGCATGGCGTAAGTAAAAACCTTGAAACTCTCAGTGATTATGTTTGACATTTTTAATTCTTTTCTATACGTTATAAATTAAAAAATATAAACTGAGTTATATGGGCTGGGGTGTAATGGCTTTTGTAAAAAGGTTACCTTCTATATAGCTGTAACAAGGAGTGAGGACTATCTCCATTTACTCCTGTGTAGTAATCCTCAGGATCTGTTACTAAGTAAAACAGCAAGGTAGAGAAAAGTGTATTGTATGCTGCCACTCATCTAAGAAGAGGGTGGAGATTTGACTGGGTATACATACTTGTTTATATTAATGATAAAAACAGTAATGGAAATAAAAAGTAAAAACTGCAAAAATGTTTACTTGGGCAGTACGTGGAGAAAGGCAAAGGGATGGCTCCTAGACCTTTCTGAACATATCTTGCTTTAACTTTAGAGCTTTATAGTTTACATAATTATAAAACAAAATTAAAGTAATTCTTAAAAATCACAAATAAGAGTTGTGTCTCCAGCTATAAAGGTACCATAGGGACTGAATGTACTGTCCTCCCTCTTACCAGAAAACCAGACAAAATATATGAAACAATGATTTTCAGATGTGGACAACAGGCAGTGCAAGTAATGATCCCTGAAGGCAGGGAAACAAATGAGGTGGGCCCTGTGAGTGCAGCTTACTGCCTTGAGAGAATTTCCAGGCTGCAGTGTAGGGAGGGAAGAACCCAGCCAGAGCTTGGAGGTCTTGCTCAGGTGAAGAAACCAAGTTCAGAGTTTGGGGAGGCTGAAATGGCTGTAGTTTTCCAGGCACAGTGCTAGAAAGTAAAGAGCTGTACAGAAAGCTCTCGAGATTGCAGAGACTTCCCCAGGAGTCATCAGCTGAGTTATGTTCATCACATTCATGTGGGAGCTACTAGAGACCAAGGAAAGAACCCCTGAATAGGAGCAGGCAGCATATCCCTGGAGCTCACATGGGGCAGGGAACAGTTCATGGTCCTACCAGTCAGTGTGGAGGGATATCTTAACAGTGGGCATTGAACAGAGTCCACAGTAATGGAACCAAATTAACCCTAGACTAACAGCTCTTCTGGATAGCCTAATGAACTCTAAAGCAAGTTTTGAACAGATCAAACTATTTCCAAGTTACTTAACTATATTCTAGAAGAACTCCAAACATATTTAAGGGAATACTGAAAAATCCAACACCTAAAACAAAAATTCATAATGTCTGGCAGCCAATCAAAAATGACCAGGCATGCAACGAAATAGGAAAATATGACCCATAATAAGGAGAGAATCATAGAACAGAAACATACTCAGAAACAACACAGTTGATGGAATTAGTAGGCAAAGTAGTAAAACAGCTATTACAAAAAAAGCCCAAATCAAAGTTCTAGAGACAAATACAATGTCTGAAATGAAAAATATACTGGATGGGACTAACAGCAGATGAGTCCCTGAAGAAGAAAAGATGAGTGAATTTAAGGACATTAGTGCAATTTGGGCCCCTGGCTGGCTCAGTAGGGAGAGCACGCAACTCTTGATCTCGGGGTTGTGAGTTCGGGCCCCACATTGGGTGTGAGATTACTTAAAAAAAAAAAAAAGCATTAATACACACTATTCAAAACAGAAATGCAGAGAGAAAAGAAGAATGAACCTCACTTAAATGAACTATGAAACAACTTCAAGATTTTAAAATCAAGGTAGCATATTTTGTTTTGCTATAACCATTCCCATCTTTATATATTACTTTAAAAGTACTGTTTCCTCCCACAGGCACTTGGATAGCAACACTGAGCCAGGACTTACATTAGGAGGGTATTTCTGCCCACAGTGTCGGGCAAAGTACTGTGAGCTTCCAGTTGAATGTAAAATCTGTGGTGAGAAACCAACTGTTCTTTATCTAGTAAATTAATCTTGAATAACTTCTTACCTATATTGCTAATGAAGTAAATGTAAATATTAAGCTCTGCCTATATTTCTGAATTTAATCCATGAGAATAGAAAAGGATTATTTTTTTTATTGAGTACCCGGTACTCCATTTCTAAGAATAAACATGGCATTCTAGAACAGTTTTCTGATTCTCCCTCTGAAATGAGTATGTTCTTTAAAGGCTTTGCAGTAGATCTAGTAGACATTTTTGTAGCTCTTAACCTTCACAAAATATATATAAGGACAATGAGGAATTAAAGTGATAGAATTGTAGAATTTTGTTTCATTTTTAAGTAAGCAAACGGCCAAGAGAGGTCACACAATTAGTGAAAGAAGTAAGACTCCATCCTGGAATCTCCTTTTTAAGGCGATATGTAAATGAAGAAATCAATACCAGCAGTCCTAAAAAAAACCTTGAAAATATTTAGCCTATTATTTGACATGTCAGCCATTGTCTTAATGAGGTTTGGGCTATTAAACATGATTCTCTGCTTTATTTGTTAGGTCTTACTTTGGTGTCTGCTCCGCATTTGGCACGGTCTTACCATCACTTATTTCCTTTGGATGCTTTTCAAGAACTTTCTCTAGAAGAACATAATGGAGAAAAGTATATGAGTTTTGATTAATTTATATCTGTTACATGTGGTAGAATAATGTTTGAATGTGTTGTTACTACATTAAAAAAGAGTCATATTAACTTGGGCAAGATTACCTCTAATTTGGAAAATGAGATGGTAGAATGCCTTGGTTGTGACTGAAGTGACTCATTATTAAACAGATCTGGATCTCCAGAAATCTATTAATTTCCCTAAGCCCATCTCTGTATAGTAAGTGTAGTCAAATACTGATAAATCAGCTCTCTAAAACAACAAAACAGTCCTGGTTTGCAACCTTATCTGATTTCTGTGGTGTAAGACCAGAGGATTTATCCAGAAGGTCTAGTATTAGAGTAGTTAGAGAAACAGAGAAAAGATCAAATAAAGAGTAGGTAAGAAATAGTTAAGGATATTGTCTACTATTGAAGGACAGAACTTTATAGATTGAAAGGAACTGTCAGGTGTCTAACATAGGGAAAATAGACCCACACTAAAGTGTATCATTGTGAAATTTTAGAATAGGCAGCAAAAAACTAAACGTTTCTGGAAAGGGAAAATTAGGTCACATGATCTGGAATTAAAATTGTTTTGTGTCTCAGCAATACTGGCTACTGCCAGGAAGTGATTTCCTTGAGTTGTTACCAACTTAAATTACATACCTAGCAAACCTATCAGTTAGGTCAATGAAGACATTTTCAGACTTATGAGGCCTCAACAAGAGACTCTGGGGAAGCTGTGGAAGAGATGATTCAAAGGACCTGAGAAAGAGAATGACTGGAAGAGAATGGGATATTGATCTAGTTCAAACGTGGCTTAAGAAAGCCCTAGGATGATGATAAGGGGAGATTCCAGAATAACACTTTTGTGTCAGATGTGGAGAATAGTCCAGTTTGGTGAAGGTCAGAATGCTGCAGGAGAGAGGTCACCAAGAGGGCGAAAACTAGAATTCTTGATGTGGGCGACCGTAGAGACGACATTTAGATTGCTCAGGGAAAGGTTAGACTGAGTTGGGGTAATTATATAGAAAACTAAGCTTGTGGACAACAGTATAGTTATCAACTCCAGGAAAAAAATAGTTTGAAGAGAGGAAGAATTGTATTACATGGCTCAGCTGAATATGTTTATATAGTCATAATAAACTAAACACTTAATATTCTATTCAAAATGATTTTAGTACAGAGAAAGAATTGAGAATGGCATTACTTATGTGTGTGTACATGCTGTTGGATCAAGAGGGTTGAAAGAGAATTAAATTCTGATCTTCCTTAGTTGGAGGTTTATAGCCAATGCCAGAAAAACACAAGAAATAGCACTGTAGCAGTTAAAAGTTTTGAAAGTGTTTGGGGAGCTGGAAATGAAGGGGGGTTGGTAAGGAGAGGGCTGCTATTTTTTGTAGTAAGTCTTGAGAACTTTTAACTCTTTAAACCATTCCTTGAAAATTAAGCCCTTAGGTATCCACACATAAATTAACTTCTCTTCTGTCCATCTGCAATTATACCAGCTACCTGCTATTCTCAGGAGAGTTGCAGAATAGTCACTCAGGTTATTTTCTGTAGGGCTTAATTCCCTCACAGAATCCCAGTAGGGAAATCATGCTCCTATTTAACCTTGATCAAAATAAAATTTAAAAAATTTTAAAATAGGATATTGCTTTGTGAGATGATCTTGGGATATACTGTAGAATTTTCTTAAGTTACTGGTATTCTTAATTCTGTTTTTCTCATAAAAGTCATGTGTGAAGATAATTACTTATTAATTACAGGATTCTTGTTACTGAGATTTTGCCAAGCTATTTTAAGGAGTGAATTCCTAACAAAATAATTCTTAAACTTTCTTTTTCAGATTTTGTTATGGATGTCAGGGGGAATTGAAAGACCAACATGTAAGTTCATGTGCTTTCTAAATATTAAGTATTGGGACACCTGGGTGGCTTTGGTTAAGCTTTGGTTAAGCATCTGCCTTCAGCTCAGGTCATGATCCCATCGAGTCCCATGTCGCGCTCCCTGCTCAGCAGAAAGCCTGCTTCTCCCTCTCCCTCTGCCTCTCCCCCTGCTTGTGCACTCTCTCCTGACAAATAAATAAGTAAAATATTTTACAAAAAAAAAAAAAATAATAAATACTAAGTATTATACAAGAAATATTGAGGAAATAGCATTAGAAGTTTTCAGTACATTACTGAAAATCAGGCTCATAGGTTATTCCTCAGAAGTATGGTAACAGTAGGTAGAGATAAAATGGAAGCAAAATGGTTTAAATAGTCTTTTTTATAATTCTGCATTTTAATTTTTCTATAACAGTATTTTGGTACTTTAAACTGTCTTTAGTTGGTGACAGGGTGGCTCAGTTGGTTAAGCGTCTGCCTTCGGCTCAGGTCATGATCCCAGCAGGGGAAGCGGCAGGCAGATGGAGAAGCAGTCTCCCCACTGAGCCAGGACCCCAATGCAGGCTTGATCCCAGGACCCTGGGATCATGACCTGAGCTGAAGGTGGACGCTTAACTGACTGAGCCACCCAGGCGTCCCTCACTTGACAGTTTTTAAGAACACGTTGTCTTGGGGCGCCTGGGTGGCTCAGTTGTTAAGCGTCTGCCTTCAGCTCAGGTCATGATCCCAGGGTCCTGGGATCCAGCCCCGCATCGGGCTCCCTGCTCAGTGGGAAGCCTGCTTCTTCCTCTGCCTGCAGCTCCCCCTGCTTGTGCTTGCTCTCCCTACTCCTCGTGTCGAATAAATAAAATATTAAAGAAAAAAACCACACATTTTTACTTCTTTGCTTTTTGAGATGTAATAATCTTTTAACCTGTGTATGCTGCTGCTTTGGAAATTTCATCCCAAGACATAAGTATCCATGTATGTAATACTGATAAAACAATGGATTTTTTCTTTTTGTCTTAAATGTGTCTTTTTCCATATTCTTTAATAGTTAAATAAAAGAATATAATTTGTGCAGCTGTGAGGTCATTCCCTGGCAATAACTAAATCTGTGTTAAAGATTTATGTTTTTCTTTTTAATCAAATCAGAGGAATGAATAAGCATTTGAAACTAGCACTAATTTCAAGCTTATGTGTCTTCCCCAGATAATTACTTAAAACAAAGTAATTAAGAATGTTTTACAATACAAGAGATGTTAAGGTGTGCAAACAAAGTAATTTTCTCATTTGTAAGGGATAGTTTTTTTGGAAAAATAGTCACCTTAGATTTGAGAATAAGTAGTACATTGGAAGTAATAAAGTAGGTGAATGGGTGGGGAAAACTGATCGATAAGAGAGCAGAGCAACGTGAATGTCTTCTGGCTGTGCTGTACTTCTGGAAACTACTTTCTAAATTTTCTTTTCTTCTTTTCACTGCAGGTCTATGTTTGTGCTGTGTGCCAAAATGTTTTCTGTGTGGACTGTGATGTTTTTGTTCACGACTCTCTTCACTGTTGTCCTGGCTGCATTCATAAGATTCCAACTTCTTCGAGTATTTGATTCCAACATATAGTACACATTGTATGTGTTAAAAGGACATTTGCAACTGTTAAAAAGTGATTCTTCAGAAGAAGCTCCGATTAAGATATGAAGACCAGTTTGAAAGGAAAATCTGATTGAAGAAACTTTTTGCTAAGAAAATGTAGGATTGGGGCACCTGGCTCAGTCATTTGGAAGAGCATGAGACTCTTGATCTCAGGGTTATGAGTTCGAGCCCCACGATGGATTGCTACAAGGTAAAATAAACTTAAAAAAAAGGGAGGGATGAGGGGGAAAAAAAGAAAATGTAGGATTTTATTAAATTTTAAAATTTGTGTCCTGTCACAGAAATGCCCAGGATTTAATAGTACTTCACTTGGTTAATTTTGTTTTCTATTATTTTGTTAAATGTTTTCAAAGTCATCACACATTATTGTATTTAAGTTACTTATGATTAAATTGATGTGATAATTTCATTGCTTTATAATTAAAGTAAATACAGAATCTCTAATTTACTTTTATTCAGTTTTAGTGTAAATAGAAAATTAAATATAAATGTGAATTCAGAGGCACCTGGGTGGCACAGCTGGTTAAGCATCTGCCTTCGGCTCAGGTCTTGATTCCAGGGTCCTGGGATGGAGTCCCACATCGGGCTCCCTGCTCAGCGGGGAGTCTGCTTCTCCCTGCGCCTGCCGCTCCCCCACAAGCACACTGCTTGTGCTCTCTGCTCTCTCTCGTGCTCTCTCTTAAATAAATATTAAAAAAAAAAGCATAAGTAGATTTTATTGTAATGTTTAAGAAAGTACCTTGTATTGAGTGCCTCCTAAGTCCATACCAAGCATGCGGGTTGGGTACCACCTCATCTGTCATGTGCCAGGCAGGTTATGCATAGACAGGGGAAATCCCAAGAGAGATTTGGACACCTTAAAACTGAGGACTCTGGCTGTCCACAGGATGGTGGCCCTGAAGAAATAAATGAGTCACCTGATAGTTAATTTGCTCATGTGAGGAGAGAACAGTGACTAGAATGGTCACCTTCCTGTTAGTATTGGAAGTGGGACTAACCTAGCCTCTTGACTCCCAGACCACTTGTTACTACAATACGCCTAGAAAGGACCCTTATATTTGAAATAGAGGACTTTTTTTTAAAAGTTAATTTAAAAATTGCTTCACTTTTGTGGATAGGAATATGTTTTGTAAATGGTGTTCAATATACTTTTTTAAATTTCAAAATTAATTTCCATTTTTTTAAAGTTTATTTAAGTAATCTCTACACTCAATGTGGGGTCTGAACTCACAGCCCCGAGATCAAGAGGCAGGTGTCCCATTAATTTCCATTTTTAAGAAGTTGTGTTTTATTCAGCAGATGAAATACAAGTATCCCTGCTTCTTGAAAGTTTGCATTTAAGCCACTTCTATGGAAGACCTACATTGGTACCTGTTTTATCTAATCTAAAGAAGTCTGGGAGCACCTGGGGGGTTCAGTGGTTAAGCGTCTGATTTCAGCTCAGGTCATGATCTCAGGGTCTTTGAGATCGAGCCCTGAGTCAGGTTCTGTGCCGAGCTGAGCAGGGAATCTGCTTCTTTCTCTCTGTCTCTCTCTTTCTCTTCTCGCCCCTCCCCCAGCTTGTGTGCACTCTCTCAAATAAATAAATCTAAAAAAAGAAATACGGAGAGGATTTTCACTTTTATAAAAAAAGACAAAAAGCAAAAATAGTGCTCAGCATTTGGTTTGCAGCAAGCCCTTCTAGTGCAGTGCCCCTCTTGGGGCCATGAGAGCGGCGCCACCAGGCTCCTTCCTGGGAACTACACTCAGCATCTCAGCGTCTCAGCATCAAGCCGCTGCGGCTTTGAGCTGTCTGTGAGCATTGGTGCTTAATCTTCATTCATCTTGTGCATTAGTTAGCAAGATGTGTCCTAAGTATCAGAAAAACCTAACAGAGGTTATCTTTGGCATCTGGGAAAGCTCAAAAAGTTTTCCATATTAATTAATGATAATAGGTTCAGAGCTGATGACCAAGAAAGAATTCTTGAGATGTCTTTGGTGCAGAAAGGTGTTTTTTTTTTTTTTTTAAAGATTTTATTTATTTATTTGAGAGAGAGAGAGAATGAGAGATAGAAAGCACGAGAGGGAAAGAGGGTCAGAGGGAGAAGCAGACTCCCTGCTGAGCAGGGAGCCCGATGCGGGACTCGATCCTGGGACTCCAGGATCATGACCTGAGCCGAAGGCAGTCGCTTAACCAACTGAGCCACCCAGGCGCCCCGAAAGGTGTTTTTATTAGAGCACGAGGGCAGGACCTGTGGGCAGAAGGAGCTGCACTGGGGTCATGAGGAATGGCCCATTATATACTTTCAAGTTGGGAGGAGGTTAGGGATAGTGTAAGCATCCCAGGTATTTTGGAAATAAATAAATAAAATCTTAAAACAACAACAACAAGAAAAACCGTTTCCAGGACATTGAGGGGGCTAGCTATTGTTAGGAAAAGGTCATTTATTACTATTGAGTAAAAACTCCATCATAAGACCCTTCAGATGTGTATCAGTGGGTCATATTCTTGGGGGATGATTGCTAACATATATCTTAGGGGGTAGAGATAAAGGTAGTTTCCAGAGGAATTTCTATATGTTCAAGTAGGCTTACAGGATCCAGGCAGGAGTGGGGAGGTTCGGGCTAAAATTGCCTTTGCCCTTAGCAAAGTATTAACATGGAGGCAGCTGAGTCCCTAGAGGAATGTCGCTCTACCTGTTTCAAGGACTTGACAGTGGGCTGTAGGTAGTAAGAAAATTTAATTTTTCTTTTTGCCTTAGTTTCTCACATCATAACCACAGGAACTGGATTTAGTAACCATAGTTTAACAAATAAACAACACATCCAGCCTATGTATATCAGTAAGTCAGAATCTCTTTGATTGTATTCTATATTTGTTTCAAAGGAAAAGATACTCCGAAGATTGAATTTTTAAATTATTATACATGTTGTCACTAATAGAAGTAAGAAGAATTCCCTCCCCCTCCCGCGTGTCTTCTTGGAGTAGCTTGGGGTTTTTAGGTTTCCTGTTTATCTTGTGTGCGCCGTGCCCTAACTATGAAGTTGTCTGTAACCTGAGCCACGGAAGGACCTGTACGTACCGAGGAGCCACAGCTGCCCCTGCTGACTCAACACTGGAGTGTGCACATCTTGAGAAATAAACCAACAACTAAGTACACACTGGGGGAAGAAAAAGAAGGAAGAATTATATGAAAATAATGATGAGTCTCATAAGTGCTGAGGTAAAATTTGACAGTTTATTGAAGCATGATAAATTTCATCATTTTTAGATGTACAATCCAGTAAGTTTTAACAAATGTTTATTGTGTAATCATCACCACAATAAAAGATGTAAGACCTCTCTACGTAGCACTGAGGTAAATTTTAATTATGATTTACTAATTACAGATCTGAATTTCTTCAAAGGAAGAAATCCTTAGAGGAAATTGCACAGTATATTCAAAGCTAGGAGGGATTTGTTGGTGTCGTGTTAATTTATAACAGCAAATGCTTTCTCAGGTTGGCTTTTGATGACGAGCTAATGATGAGGGAGCAGCATGCTGGCTGAAGAGAAAGCAGAAGCTGACACCCTGCAACCTCCCCCCACCCCCACTCCTGGATGGGACGTGCTTGACTTTCTTCCAGGAATCTCCCAACTATCTTAATTGTTAATGCCTTGCTAGAGGGGGAAATAACCTGAACTTGACAAAGGCAAGGCCTTTGTCGGTCTTATAGGTCGGTCCCCTTAAGCATATGAAAGTTCTTTTGAAACCTCCCCTTTCCTTACTTCCCCAACTCCCGAGTAGATCAGCCACCCCTCACAACCCCAGTGGAGCAGCTCTTTCTGCCCACAGGTCCTGTCCCCGTGCTTTCGTAAAACCCCCATTCTGCACCAAAGACGTCTCAAGAATTCTTTCTTGGTCGTCAGCTCTGGACTCCACCCCACCGAACCTTACCTATATTCCCAGACCACATCACTAATATCTGAATTACAAGGGGGGTGGCATTCTTTTTTGTCCTGGGCTCTATTTGTTTCATCTTCCCTTCTTTGATTTCCTCTACCTCTCTTTTGGCAGAGTGAAGAAAATCACACTGTTGCAGGATTGCAGGGTTCTTGTCTCACCGAGTCGAAGAATCAGTCTCAAGGACAATGATATACGAAAGAACCTTAGGGTTTGAAGCCGATGGCCAGAATTCTTGAGACGTCTTTTGGTGCGAAAAGGTGATTTTATTAAAGCACAGGGACAGTACCCATGGGGTTATGAGGGGTGGTGATTATGTATCTTCAAGTTGGGAGGGAGTTAGGGATAGTGTAAGCCTCCCAGGTATTTTGGTAACAAGGTTTCCAGATCCTGAGGGGGCTAGCTATTATGAAAGGTCATTTATTACTGTTTAGTAGAAATTCAGTCATGAGACCCTTCAGATGTGTATCGGTGGGTCATATGCTTTGGCGGGGGGGGGGGTTGATTGCCAACCCGTATCTTAGGGGGTTTAGAGATAAAGGAAATTTCTAAAGGAATTTGTATATATTAAAGTAAGCTTACAGGATGGGGGGGCAGAGGGGGCATTTCGGGCTAGGATTGTTTTTTGCCCTTGGCAAAGCGTCAACATCGAGGCAGCTGCGTCCCTAGTGGAATGTCACTCTGCCTGTTTCAAGGACTTGTCAGTGGGCTGTAGGCAGTAAGGAAACTCAGTAATTTTTCTTCTGCCTTGGTTTCCCACATCAGACACAAAAGGGTGAAGTGAAGTGAAAGTTTATTAAGTGAAGGTGAGAACAGAAAGGAAAAGAAAAAGCTCTCTAGAGGGAGAGTTGCCACTGAGGGCTTTCACGGGCAGCCTTTTATTGAAAACTGACCAGGGAACTTAAATCTTCTTGACGTCTCTACCACTTGATAGAACCCTGTTTACTTTTCTTTGAAGTTTGGTAATTTTTAGTGGTCCAAGCTGTCACTGTCCTAGGGATATCTTGTCTCTGACATTAAAGACGTAACGAGATGGTCTCTGATGAGGTAGCAGAGGGCAAGCGAAGGGCAAGCATAAGCTGACACCTTGCAACCTGCCCCCCTCCCCCAAGTCCCAGGTGGGCTCTATGTGGCATTCCTCAGGCACTCCTGTCTGCTCTCAAGCTAAGGGAAGGGAAAACAAATGGTTAACTAACAGAGATCACAGTCTCCCTCAGTTTACAAAATGTCGTAGTGATTTACAAGAAAAAAGCATTTTTGTCAATAACCTAACTTCCAGAAGGAAACTCCCAACTGTCTTCATGTTAATGCTTTACTAGAGGGAAAAACAACCTAAACTTGACAATGGCGAGGCCTCCAGTATCTTGTAGGTCCTCTTTAGCATATGAAAGTTC